GCCAGTGTTTGGGAGCCTGTACAGCCCCCAGAAAGCTGGTTTGATGAATGAGTTTATTGCCTCCCCTGAGGCTTGCTTATCCCCCTGAAGGTATAATCCAGGCAGAATAATTGGTAGTTTCACCCAGGGCAGTTTTCACCCTGAGGGTGTTTGAAGGGGCTAACCTGAGTTTCTCCATTGCCCTGTGGCCTTTCCGTTTTCTTCTGGGGACTTGCTTTGGGCTGTGAGTATGCGGAAGGTAGAACCTCTGTCCACCCGACTCCCCCAGGAAAGCAGATAGATATATGTTGGCACACAGACAATAAATACTTTGTGGTAGCATCTTTAAAATAGCCTTGTGATCTGAGCATTTCAAATCTTGGAAATAAATTTCTGGTGGCACTGCCGAAACCGGTTTGGCTCAGTGGGTAGAGCGTCGGCCTGGACTGAAAGGTCCCAGGTTCAATTCCGGTCAAGGGCATGTACCTTGGTTGCGGGCACATCCCCAGTAGTGGGTGTGCAAGAGGCAGCTGGTTGATGTCTCTCATCGATGTTTCTAATTCTCCTCCCTTCCTCTCTGGGAAAAATCAATAAAGTTTAAAAATAAAAATAAAATTCTGGTGGCACTGACCAGAAAAGATGTGAACATTTTATTTTCATTCTCTACTTTGCTTTCACATTTACTGAGAGATTTGTAGACCATCTTGTAAATTACCAGGAAATTTGGCAAAACGATTCCCACATTTATTTAAAAAACAAAACAAAAACCAACATGTAAAATGTTGACTAATGAAACTGGTATTAGAATGGATTTTATAACCTGGGAAACCAAAATTTACAGTTCTCGAGTGTGTGTATATGTATGTGTGTGTGTAACACATTCCGCCTATGTCATTAAACAATTAACATGAGAATTAAAGTTACCTTTACAAAATATTTGCTGATTGTATTGCCTAAGCACAGGATCTAGAAGCTAGTGATTTTTTGGAAATGTTAAAACATGAGCAAATAAATCTTATTTCTATTTTTTTTATTTTGAGTTGAGTGCTATGGTGAAAGTAATTATTATTACTTAATAAAAACATTTGAGTAAAGAAACTTAGATGAAAAATAGTAACATTTTACCCATATAATACATGTCCTTATGTTGTCAATCCTACAATTAATAATTCCTTAATAATCTCTGTTTTACAACTCAACAAATTCAAACTCATGTTCACAGTAGAATGAAGCCTTGTCTTCATTCCACAGCTATAATATTTAGCAGATGACCCATCCTTAGATCCTCATGTAGAAGAGTTATACTTATAACAGCATAGTCAACTGCTTGATATTGCTGCCTCTGTCCTTGTAAGAACATTCACAGTAGTGAATTTTTTTTAATTTTAAATAAATCTTTATTGTTCAGATTATTACAGGTGTTTCTCTTTTTTTTTTACCCCCATAGCTCCCTTCTACCTGATTCCCCACCCCACCCGATGCCCTTACCCCCTCCCCACCACTGTCTTCATCCATAGATGTAAGATTTTTGTCCAATCTCTTCCCCCTGAGAATTGTCAGTCCACTCTCTTTCTATGTCCCTGATTCTATTCATCAGTCCATTCTGTTCATCAGATTTTTTTATTCACTTGATTTTTAGATTCACTTGTTGGTAGGTATGTATTTGATGTCTTTTTGTTCATAATTTTTACCTTTACCTTTTTCTTCTTCTTCCTCTTCTTAAAGAATACCCTTCAGCACTTCATGTAAACTTGGTTTGGTGATGATGAACTCCTTTAGCTTTTTCTTGTCTGTGAAGCTCTTTATCTGACCTTCAATTCTGAATTATAGCTTTGTTGGGTAGAGTAATCTTGGTTGTAATTCTTGATGTTCATCACCTTGAATATTTTTTGCCACTCTCGTCTGGCCTGGATAGTTTCTTTTGAGAAATCAGTTGATAATGCTATGGGTGCTCCTTTAAAGGTAACTAACTTTTTCTGTTTCTGCTTGTAAGATTCTCTCTTTGTCTTTTGCCCTTGGCATTTTAATTATGATGTGTCTTGGTGTGTTCCTCTTTGGATTCCTTTTGTTTGGGTTCTGTGCACTTTTTGGACTTCTAAGTATATTTCTTTCACAGGTGGGGAAGTTTTCTGTCATTATTTCTTCAAATAGGTTTTCAGTATCTTGCTCTTTCTCTTCTGGCACCCCATAATTCTGATGTTGGTACGCTTAAAGTTGTCCCAGAGGCTTCTTATACTATCTTCAACTTTCTGAATTATCTTCTCTTCTTGCTTCTCCAGAGGAATGTCCTTTGCCTCTTTGTATTCCAAATCTTTGACTTGATTCTTGCATTCCTCTAGTTGGCTATTGGGTCTCTATAATATTTTTTATTTCAGTCAGTGTATGTCTAATTTATAGTTGGTCCTTTTTCATATCCTCAAGGGTCTCATTAAATTTAAAAGCCTTTTCTAGGAAATTCTTGAAAAACCTTATAACCATGGTTTTGAACTCTATATCTAGTCGTTTGTTCTCCTCCATTTCTTTCATTTGTGATCTGTTTCCTTGTCTCCTAATTTTCACTGCTTCCCTTTGTTGGTTAGGGTGACTTTGTGTGTGCTATATGGTTCAATGAGTCAGCCTCCCAGTTACCTAAGGTGGTCACTCTTGGTGTACCCCTTTGTGGACTGTGTGTACAGCCATGTTGTAGTTAAGTCTTAATTGTTGTTGGTGTCACTGGGAAGAGTTGACCTCCAGACCCGTTGTGTCTATGATGGAAGAATTGCTGTGCTGGAGACACATTTATGGGGTAGGACTCATTCCAGTGGGGCTTTGGTGCTCACTGAGTCTGCCTCTTGAATGTGTCCCTTATGAGAGTAGTTGAAATCTGGTGTCGTCTCACATAGAACACTAGTTACACTAGCTTCTGGATCTCCAATGGGGTGCAGGTCAGCTACTCTCTGAGGCCACCCTCAAAGAACTACAGTTTTCTCCTCTTTGCGTGGGGTTTGGAGGTTTTGGAGCTGTCTGACTGGAGCTGCAGTTTATTCGGTTAAGTGCAATAGGTCAGGCCATTTATGTGTAAAAACCCCTGCTGGGAGCCTGGGTGTTTTTGTAAATTATGTGGGGCGGGGTCTCAGGGCATCACTAGGCTAGGGTGTGGCAAACAACAATGGCTACTAGTCTGCCTTCTCTGCCTTTCCGTGTTTCCAAGTCCCTGCGTCCCTCGCTCTAGCACAATAAACAATGATTGCTGGGTGCACCTCTGCAAAAAAGTCACCCTCACTTTCCGACCCAATAGCCAACAATCCAGCTTCTTCCCGTAAGTTACTGGATCCCTGTGTCTCCCCAGAAACTGGATTTCAGAGTGATCAGGAGCTTGTCTCCCTTCCGATTGCACGCCCAGTTGCCTGCCACCAGCCTGATTCAAGTGCCTCTGTATCTCAGCTTTTCAGTGTTTATGCTCTTTTCTCTTTCCTTCTAGTTGTAGAACTTCCATTCAGCCAGCTTTCCTGTGGTTCTGGGTGATAGACGTTTTGTCTTTTAGTTGTAGTTTTGAAATTGTTGTGCGAGGCGGCAGTTTAGGTGTTTATCTTTGTCGCCATCTTGGTTTCTCCTCCAAAAAATCACATTTAATTAGACTTTGTTCATTTGTGTTTTAAAAAATTTAAGTGAAATACACAAAGTTTGCCACTTTAACCATTTTTATGGGTACAGTTCAATAGTGTTAAGTACATTCACTTATATCCCATCTCCAGAACTCTTGCAAAACTGAAATTCTATATTCATTAGCAATTTTAAAACTTTTATAGTTTACAGACAGTAAAATTAACCTTTTTTTAGTGTTGAGTTTTATGGGCTTTGACAGGCACAATCGTGTAACTACCACCATAAACAAGATATAGAACAATTCCATTGTCTTATAAAGCCCTCATGGCCCTTTGTGTATTCAGTCTTCCCTGCTAGGGCAACTATGGATATGTTTTCTATCTCCATGGTTTTGTCTAGTCTAGAATGTCATGTAAGTAGAATCATACATACATTCTTTTATATAGTAACCATGTTGTACATTATGAATGTGCCCTTATGTCATCCTTTGCAGATGGACATTTAGGTTATTTCTAGTCTCTTGCTGTTAATCACAATGGTGTAAAGAACAACCCTGTAGATATGTCATTTTGGATTTATGTGAGTCTGACTGTTGTAAAAATGTCCAGACTTAGAATTACTAGGTCAAAGGGAAACTGCATTTTTAATTTTTATAGGTTGTTTTCCAAAGGGATTGTAAAGTTTTAGAAAATGTTATTTTTCTATTTTTCCTTTAATCCTGAGTTCTTCCAACAGTTTTATCCGGTAGGATAGTAGTCAGCTCTGCCAGTACCATTTTAATCATTGATCCAAATATTGTCTTTCTTTATGTCTCCTTTTCTTTTATAAAATTTCTCAGTAATAGATATTTACTAAGTGTGCTTTAAGATACAAATGTTTTGACCTGATGTCACTTTTATCCTGTTTATTGTCATAAAAATATTTTTTCTGCTTCAGTTCTCAGAATTTACATTCTTATAGAACAGTATTTTAAACAAAAAATGAGAGGTCAATGGTTTTCACACCTTTTTAAAAGGAGCTGAACCTGTGTTTCAAATGAATTCTCACATCTAATCCCTTTTCAAGCTTCTAAGACAAGTTCTCAAATTTGAGCATCAGAATTACTTGGACACAAATGTGAGCCCCCATCCTCAAAGCATCTGAATGATGGGCCTGGGGTGGAGCCCAAGACTTTGCATTTCTAATAAAATATTGGGTGTTCTGGGGAACCACACATGAGAACCACTACTACAGGGCATATAGGTGCTCTTGAGAATCAATTGAAAACAGCTGAATACCACAAAGATCTGACATTAAAAATTATTGTAAAGGTCTTCATATATAACATATGCATATATATAATGTATATTCATGAAATACAAGTATTTTCTGATTGCTTCTATTTTTGTGATTTTTCTAAAGTCCATCTCAAGAATTAATACTATAAAGAAAACCTGATGGGACTTTTCCAGATTGTCCCCAGCCGATTATTTTCCCAACTGTATTATGGATTGAAGTCTCCAGTTGCCACAGGAACCAAGATTTGTCTAACAATGGCTCGTCCAAGTTCAAGTAGGTCTTTCTTAGCTTGCCATCTCCTCATCTCTAATGGAATCTGAAGTACCTGAAAGTTCCTACACTTTGAAGGGAATGTTTATATTGAAGTGGGTGCTGGGCAAGATTTTGGAGGAGGCCATTCTGTCTTTTTCTCCTTAGTCAAGCCCCTTCCAAGACAGGTCAGAGATGATCTCTTAACAGTTAAGGTAAGTCCATTTAAGACTTTGTAGCTTCTTATAAAATATTTGCACTTAAGCCTTTCATACATGATTTGTATTTTAAACCCTTCATCTCTCTGCAGTGGAGATAAGCTGAGATTGTCCTACAGGGTAATATCAGATTACATTTTTTACTGGACAGAAATGATTTGTATCTCTAACCAAACACAGGTTTGGCTGCCTGCAGCAACAAAAGCCAAACTTGTAAGACAGGTGCTGGTGAGAAGGAAAGAGGTTTATTCAAGTGCTGGCCCCCTGAGAAGATGGAGACTCTCATCCCAAAGATTATTTTAACATCTCAGTGCAGGCAGAGGTCTTTATTAGGAAGGAGAGAGAAAGCAGAACAAAAGAAATGAGGGGTAGGTGGGGTTGAAAGTTCTTCATATCTAAGTAAGCACAGTCCATTCTCAATGATTATCTTAAAATGGAGGTCATTTTTATGGTCGAGAGTAAGCAAGTCTCCTGGAGCTAGAATGTTCTTCCCTGAAGCTAGTTCCTGTAATATGCTCAAAAGGCTGTTAGCAATTTATGGCAAGCATGACAAACCTGGCCTTTGTTTTAAGGCATACATCCTCTTCCCTGATTTGGGGGAAATTATATGTTATTTAATCAAGAAGGTTATTTTGTTGATTAGCATAAGATTTCCTCTATAAATGTCTACCTGACAAAAACCTACAAGTTAACATATCTGGGCCCTTCTTCTGTAGTGGGTATAGAGTTTAACAGATTTATATAATAAATGGTACCTTGGTGGGCTTGTTAAACAGTTCTTCAATGTGGCATTGAAAGGCCAAGTTGAACTCTTTTTGCCTCATTTTCAACTTTTGGATAACTTTTTCTAATACTGCAAGTCTGCTGAATTGTAATAATACCTCATTACATTTTCCCCTGGAACAATAAAGAGCCCAGATAACCCAGTTCCGCTTAGCTGTCCAACCCTTTGGTATCCCAGCTATGCAGGACAGGCTGCGAGAGGCTGTGGTGGGAGCCAGAAGCATGTGCTTGACAAAAAGTGGGCCACCTGGGACTGAAACTACAAAACATGCTGGTGTGTTTTCCTTTAGCAATTAGGAAATGTTGTCTATAATAAGATTTCACACAGCTTTAATATTGTTATTGCTTACATTTTGTTTTCCAGAAACCAAATGAAAAGGTTGACTTTTTTATCTGTTTTTAGAAATTACTTGAAGTGGTACCTTAGCAGAAGTCACTCTGACTTGGAAATTTATTCAACAGAAGGATGACAGACTTTACATTTGAGGTAGAAAGGCATTCAGAGCAGGGGAAAGTTTTATGGGTGAACTTTAAAGTCCTTCAATATGTTTGTATGGTTCAACCCAGGAGTTATATAAATAGTTCCAAGATGTAGTTAGCAAATTGTTCTCCCAGGGGACAGATCAGACTACAAACTCTGATCCACTCAGATTAGATATTTTTTTCAGACATATTCTTGGATGGACAGCGTTAGCAGGCCATATTTTTCCAATCAGTCCATTTCTGAAAGGGATATGAGGGTAGGCAAAGTGTTAACATGGCTGGTAGGTAGTTGGGCTGGTTATACCGAAAGGCAACAGTGTGCCTGAATCATCTTCATTCCTTTGAGCCTTGCTTTGGGAAAGTTTTCCCAGAGAGCTCCAGGAATGTGGCCGGAAGAAAGCTGCAGCCTCTGCTTTTCTGTTTTTGAAACCAGACCCATCTCTTAGTATGTGCTCAGTCAGCTAAGGGTTAATCTTGGTTGCCATTGGAAGACCAGAAAGTTCACTCCATCAGCTGTGGAACTCACTTCCGTTTTTGCTGAACTTTTCTGTTAGCACAGGCTGGCCACTCCTAAATGTCTGCTTTGTGGCCCAGGCCAGCCCCAGACAAGGCTGGTCTGGCACTTGCTTTTCTAGGTAGAGGGCAGAGAGGGAGTCTCACTTCTCCCTGAAGTTTGTGCTCAGCTCTGTAGGCTTACATTACCCCTTGCATAAGGACCTGCAGAGCCACAGTGTCTGGGAGAGAAGGGTGTTGCTCTCAGCCATATTCTGAGTCCTATCCTAATCTCTGCTACCTAAGAAACACAGTGGCACTGTCAAGTCTGGCTCCTTGTTCTTATCCTGGGATGAGGACATTCTCTTCAGGGGCAGACACCTCTTGTGACCCATGTAAATGCTTGGCACAGCCTGGGGTGCAGTGAGCCCTCACTCAGTAATGGCTACTGCCTGTGTTGGTCTGAGATCAGGTAGAATGCCTGGAGGTGCAGAGCAAGGCCTTTGATCTGGAGGGAAAGCCATGGTCTGTGACTATGATTACCTGCTTCCATGCTATTCTCTATGTTCAATTCCCTTTTGTTACCCTCTGATGACATCTTGTTGAAAAGTCTAGCTCTTATTTGAGCATTAAAGGAGAAAGTCATGTGTCTAGGCTTAGGGTACAGCATTTGTTCATAGGGTAAGGGCCCTCATCCTGACCTTTGGTAGTGATGCTGAAAGAAGGTAGAATTAGCAAGATCCACAAAAGGAAGAGAACTTGGGGTGGAAGGGAAGGCTTTGGGGTTCGATGGGCCTGAACACGAACACACACACACACACATTGTCTTTACTTTCATGAAGGAAGTTGCATTCCTATCCAATAATCTTCATAGCAGCCCTGTTCTGGGAAGGACAGTATTGTGCACATTAAATTGCCAAGGAGCCCAGGATAGCAGAAGGTCAGTGATTCACAAAAGATCTCACACATGGGTGTCGGTGGAGCTGAGAATCAGAGTCAGTGCTCTGTGCCTGAAGGCCCTGCTTCTTTCTTAAGATATTATACATTCACACATCAAGGGCATGGATAGCGTTTTCATGATACAGGAATGATTTTTATATGAGTATCTTAAAGTATAATATCGCACAAGGTCAAGTTTCAAAATATAGATATTTCCTGCTTTTCCAAAGTTTGCTCTATACCAGCGGTCACTAACCGGTAGTCCGCAGACCACTGGTGGCCGGTGAGGTCCAAAAGGTTGGCAACCTCTGCTCTACACCACTTCACTATTACAAAAACCTAAATTAGTATCTGTTCTCACTAACCAAAAGAAAACTGAAGAGGATTTTGCATTGAAAAAAGGTTGAAAACAAAAATAACATTCAGCATTAGTCTTGCAGCAAGTTACAGAGACAGGACTCACCCCAGCAGCAAGAGTGGTCCCCAAGCTCCTTCTCTGGAAGCTATTTTCAGCATCAAGCACTGCAGCTTTGAACTGTGTCTGTGAGCATCTGTGCTTTATCTCCATTTATTTTGTGCATTCATTAGCAAAACGTACCCATAGGTAGTTGCTTTTCTGTTTTATGGAAGTTTTCATAAGAAACACTCTACTTTCGGCAAGCAGGGGAAACCTAGGCAGATGATTGGTATGGGATATAAATATCCAAATGGTGTACTGGATTGATAAAGATTTTATTCTCTCTTTAGATATGGCCGATTTTCGGAAGCTTTTTGCAAAAGCAAACCACATAGTCATCATTTCAGGGGCTGGCATTAGTGCTGAAAGTGGGATTCCAACTTTCAGAGGAGCCGGAGGTTATTGGAGGAAGTGGCAATCTCAGGTTAGTAGTGTTTCCAGAATATTAAGAGGCTGTTCTAAATGAAGCCATAACAGAGTTTGACTCGGAACCTAATGATGGCTGAAACCCATAGAACAAAGTTTTGAAATTGGCAGTGACTCTTGTCCTGTTCATTTTGGCATCGACACAGTGTTCATATGATTAAGATCTGAGATTTAAGGAAGGCAGCCATTTCCCTAATTTTTTAGGTATGTATAATTTGCATTTTTTCATATAAAAAAGTAGAATCAGAAAACCTTGATTAGCATAATTCATTACTATAGATATTGAAATTAAGTATTACACATTTTTAAAGTTTCTGTGAACTTTTCATATTAACACTGAAGTTGAATTCTTGAAGGCCTAGAGCTTAATGTTCAAACTTTATATGAAGGCCATTAGAAATTAAATTCTTTGGAGGTATAGATTTTTTTAAAATTTTATTGAGGTATATTAGCCATACAATAAAATTCACCAATTTTAAGTATACAATTCAATAACTTCTAACAAATGTATACAGAGTGTAGCTACCGCCACATCACAAGTAGAACATTTCTGTGCCCTGGGTTATTCCCTCAAGGCTCTTTGCAGTCAGTCTCCTCCCCTCCCCCAGGCAATCCCTAATTTTGGAGGGCAGGGAATTTTGTCTATTTCATTCATTGCTCCTTCCCCAGCTCTGAGAACTCTGGCACAATGTAGGTGCTTAATAGATGTTTGTTGGTTGAATGAAGGAAGTCACTCCAATACACGACTTTCAGATTTAGCAAGTGATTTCTTATTGAGTGAAGGGTTAATGAACCTGCCCTTCTTTCCTGAAAGAAAGCTTTCAGGATGGCAAATGTTTAGGGCAAGCATGTTAAACTCGTGGCCTATGGGCTGCATGCGGCCCACAACGAATACTATTTTTGTGGCCCAGCCAAAATAATGGTATATAAGAAACGTTTAATTTTTATTTTTTTTAAATATATATCTTACTGATTTTTTTTTTTTTTTTTTCTTCACAGAGAGGAAGGGAGAGGGATAGAGAATTAGGAACATAGATGAGCCGAAACCGGTTTGGCTCAATGGATAGAGCGTCGGTCTGTGGACTGAAGGGTCCAAGGTTCAATTCCGGTCAAGGGCATGTACCTTGGTTGCAGTCACATTGCCCAGTAGGGGGTGTGCAAGAGGCAGCTGATCAATGATTCTCTCTCATCAATGTTTCTAGCTCTCTATCCCTCTCTCTTCCTCTCTGTAAAAAATCAATAAGATATATTTAAAAAAAAAGAAAAAAGAAAAAGAAAATAGATGAGAGAGAAATATCAATCAGCTGTCTCCTGCACACCCCCTACCGGGGATGTGCCCACAACCAAGGTACATGCCCTTGACTGGAATCGAACCTGGGACCCTTCAGTCTGCAGGCCAACACTCTATCCATGAGCCATACCAGTCAGGGCTGTAAGATCGTTGTAATAAAAATTTCATAACTTAATTTTTATAATATCCTGTTATATATAATTATTAATAACGAACAACAACATTTGCTAATGACAGATTACTATAATTGTGTTGCATTCATTTCCCTTACGCAATTTACGCACCTTTAAGTGCACCATTTCTCTCCACTAATATTAGTAGTGAACATTTTAGCAGTTGATTGCCACATCATTAGTCTGGTACTGACTTGCTTGGTGTGCACAACAGGAAATATTTCACTTTCAGAGAACAAGAAAAATAGGTTTATTTACATTATGCTTATTAATTTGTGCAGTTATTCAGTGTCTGTTAATTTTCAAGAAAAAATATTAATTTTTATTAAAATGTTCTGTTATTTTAAAATATGTACACAGATAATAATTAAAAAAACAAACAGTAAACAAAAAAAATGTTATTTTATGTTAACAATCACTCATTTATTTCAGCTTTTGGTATTCAGCATGTCTCTTTTGAAATAAACCTATGTTTCTATGAAAATTAAAACTTGCTTTTTTTTGTGGCCCACATAATCTTAAACCTTGTTTACTTGACCAAAGTTAGCCTTTGAGTTTGACATGTTTGGTTTAGGATGTTCTGTCACCTCTCCACTGCCCTCCAGGCAAAGCCTGGGGATGCAGACATGACAGCATCCCCTTAAAGGTGAAGGAGGGGAGAGGGAAGAGTGAGGGCCATTGAGGTCCCATAAGAAGAGGAGCCACGAAGAGCATCCCCTGATTTAGAGAATCGGGGGATGGGGCTCAGGTGGTGTCAGGAGGACTTACAGAGGGTGGTCAGTCAGGTCAGAGAAGCTGCGTTTGTGGGAAAGCAGTAGATTACGTTTGACTCCAGCTGTGTTCCTAGGACACATACAGGGTGGGGCACAGAAGTAGGCTTACAGTTATGAGTTCACCAAGCACAGTTTATTCTTGTTTTGTTAATTAATTACTATAAATCCACTTTTGCCCATCCCTGTATAGCCAGGCCACTTGTGCTGTAAGTAGAAGGCAGGAAGGAAGGAAGTACAGGGTTGAAATGGATAATCCACAGCGTAGAAGATCCACTCCCCAAATGAAGGCTGACATGGCTACCAGGCAGACAGGGACCTTTACAGTAAAATGAAATGCATGATACCACCACTGCCACCACTGAGCTACAGAATACTTTGGTCATTGCCAAGGTTCCCTCGTATATTTCTTGTCAGCTTCCAGCCCTAGACAACTTCTTCTCTGTTGACTGTTCACTATACATGAGATTTGTCGGTCCTAGAAGAGGCATTGCACCTTAAAATACATATTTTATATGTATTGTTAATATAATGTTTATGGTGAGTGTGTAACTGTTAGTGATAAAAACTGAGTTTCTCAACTATGGCCATTATACCTCAATTGGACATTTTACATTTCACTTTTTTTCCTGGACAAATGATATTGACTCCATACATTTTGGATCTCCAACCTAAATTATCTTCTTGCATATTACTTACTTCATGTTCATAACTTCCTTGAGTGTCAAATGGGACAGGTTGTATTTTCTCTGAACTATAATTGGGGAAATTGAAACCAATTTCTCCCGTGTTAGTCCCAGGATCGGGACACAGGCTGGTGCTCAGGCCCTGCCCTGTGTCTGCCACACTGCACGCACCTAAGCAGCGTGTGCCAGCTTGCACCCTCCGGAAGCCGCCTGCCCGCTGTAGAGAAAGGGGGGCCTGCAGTGTGTGCCCGCACTGCCCTTGGCACTCCGAGGTTCCGTCCGCGCCCCGCTGCCTGAGCGCTCTTCCCTCCCTGACTCCTGCCTCCTCTCACCCAGACCCTGGCCACTCCGGAGGCCTTTGCCAAACACCCGTCCCTGGTGTGGGAGTTCTACCACTACCGGCGGGAAGTCATACAGCGCGTGGAGCCAAACCCCGGGCACCTCGCCATCGCTGAGTGTGAGGCCCGGCTGCGTGAGCAGGGCCGCCGGGTCATGGTCATCACCCAAAACATCGATGAGCTGCACCGCAGGGCTGGTACCAAGAACCTTCTGGAAATCCATGGTGAGAACCCCAAGCCTCACACGGGGAAGGGAACTAGACTTGAAAGCATGACCTGCCATTTTCCACCTGGACTCACTAAAACAGAATCCGCATGCTGACAACACACCCAGGTGTCTGGTGTGCGCCTGTTACACCGTGAAAGCGCTGGTCTGCACAGCTGCGTGCATGCCCCTCGCTGAGCAGCTCTTGAAGGGGTTGCGTTAGAGACAACTGCCCAGCTGGCTTGAGGGAACCAAGAGGGGTGGGCCATTGAACAGAAGGCTTTAGCAGGATCTGCTATGGGACCTTGGCATGCCTGGGGTATCTATTTACTTTCCCTTTGTCCCAGTTGGTTCTGTCTACTGAGGCTGTGCTTCTGCAGAGCCCTCCAGCCTTTAGGGGCTACCGCTGAGCCACCTGCACTGAACTAAGCCCACCAAGTTGTCACACACAGGTTTTACCTTAGGTCCCTCTGGCTTTCCCTCTCTTCCCTGATGACAGCCTCCTTTCCCCTCTTATCTTCTTACTCCTTTCCCCTCTATGCTCTCACCAAAAAAAATCTAATAAACCCATTCATACAAGAGCATCAGTGGGCAAGCCAGGATTTTCCCCCCCCCCGAGGACATTTGCGTTTAAGAGTCTACAGAACTTTAATTCCAAGGAATGCATTTCTAATAGTGGCATTTCCAGGAACAGTTAGCCAATGGGGATGGTGCCTGTGTGTGTACACCGTGAGATTGCCCATTTTTTCCTAAGCTTGTGGTTACCCTGATAATGAGAGGTGAGCATTGTTCACTTGGGTCCCATCCCTCTTTTGTGTCCTAACAGTGTCAGCCACCTACTCACCGAACGTCTTTGGCATCTTCTGTTGGATCTGGGATACTTTCCACATGGCTCTTCTTGTTTCTGTGCAGTGTCAGATTGTAGGCTGGCACTTGCCATGCAGAACATATAAAATCGAAATCCCGTTATTTTAAGCATTAAATAAGATAATATATACATACTAGTTGGGACATTTTTGGTTGCAAGTGATGATAACTCGCTTCAAATTCAGGTAAAAACAAAAGGAAGCCCTTTCTTTCATCAAATTGAAAATGCAACATGTTTTTAATGTGATACTTAGAAAGGAAATAATCTGCACAAACCATGATATTTTATTACCCCTTAGAATTCACTATTTTATACATATAGAAAGGGCTTGTTAAAACTTACTTACACATTTTTAGAAACTCTCATGCATATAGAAAACAAAACATGGGTAAAATAGAGTGGCCAGATATTTCTTCTGAATGGTTTCTGAAGATCTCCGAGGTGCCGGTGACTGTGCTCCATGCGTGGGATTGGTGATGCAGCATTTTCTCAAAGGGGATCCTCTCCTGTCTCTGGGTTTCCTTCCCAAACGGCTGACTCACATTCTGCAGGTTTGACATTGGGCTTTTCTCAATCTTACCAAAAGGTGTCAGTGGAAGGGTTCTAGATAACAACCAGGACTCATTTTTCTTCCCCAAATTGACCTTAAATGGTTTGTTGGCTGAAATAGGCAGAGGCTGCCTTTGTCCAGTCAGGACTCATGTCAGTCATGGTGTAATCCTTCAACAAGTGCTGGCTATGGCAACCACAGCACATCCGTCATGTGGCCAGGGGCAGTTGCAGGATGCGTCCGAACTTCAGAGATGTTTGTGGGAAAGTAGCCATGCTAAAACTGACAAAATAGGTACATTGGCTGGCAACACTGAGGAGCCCTGGGAGAAGCTGACGTCAGCAGCAAGCTCACTGTCTTTCCCTGCCTCAGCTTTGCTCACTCTGAGTTACTTTATCTCTCCCTCTGTAGTTTTTGCCTACATGTACCAGCAAAGGTAAGGTCTGGCAGCTTCAGGCTCACTCTTGCTTAGCTCTCTCCTCAGAAAATAAACCTCGGAGAGCCTTGCCTGCTTTTTAACCAAACACTATTGCTAGAGAAGTGGGGTACTGGGATTGGACTAGTCTAAAACGTGTATCCAAGCTTTATTTTAGGATGATTGACAATTTCATCAGCTTGGCATGGGATAGAGGAGAGATGGGTCCTCAACAAAGTGACACTGGACAATGGAACAATGTGGTTCTACCACAGTGTGTGTGTGTGTGTGTGTGTGTGTGTGTGTGTGTGTGTGTGTGAGACATGCTCAGCACAGCACTGGGCACATGACAATATGTAGTGACTTGTGGTCGCTATTATTGGGTGAGCTCAATAAATGGTTGCTAGTTCTAGCAGTTATTTTCTTCATTTATTAGTTGATTAATTATTTATTGATCTGGTTTTGATTAAAATATTCAAGCTTTATTAATGTAAAATTAAGATTTGTAAACATATCCCAAGCTACTGAACCTTTATCAATCATGTTCATAGTAAATCATGCCATTACTTGGTTGGCTTCCCTTACCCTATTGATCACTTCAGGTCTACCTGAGCATCACTCCGAGAAATGTGAGAGTGCCTAAGTCATGAATGATTATTTCATCTGTCTCTCTTCCCTCTAGAGTACAGAGTCCAGGAGGGCAGATGCTCCTGGCTTGTTCAATAGTACTACATGCCTTTACATTTCCCATAATGCCTAGGGTAGGCCCATTTGCTAAAATGAACATATAAAAACTAAGTAATTTTGTATCCTTTTGGACATGGAGACAGTTGCTCTTGATGATATTATTTCTGGTCTTGCTTGACTTATGTTTTTCAGGTAGCATATTCAAAACTCTGTGTACCTCTTGTGGGGCTGTGGCTGAGAATTACAAGAGTCCAATTTGTGAAGCTCTTGCAGGAAAAGGGTAATTATGCTGTACTACAGAATAAGTGTGTGTTGTTTTTTCTTTTGAACATAAATGTGAGGAAATGAAACATTAATCTAAGATTTGCATGGATATTGATAACAAATAGGATCCAATACATTATACCATATTATGAAAGAAATATTTTGCTCACAATTTATAATAAGTGAAAACCATAGAATCTAACTCTGTATAGTCTGATCCCAACTTCGTATTTTTTTAAATTCTTACCCAAGAAATGAGGATATTTTCCCATTGATTTTAGAGAGTGGAAGAGAGGAGGGAAAATGAGAGAGTGAGGGAAAAGGGGGAGAGGGAAATAGCAACGTGACAGAGCTATATCGATTGGTTACCTCCCACATGTGCCCCAGCAGGGTGGGGATCAGACCTGCAGCCCAGGTATGAGCCCTGGAGTGCCCTTAATAAGGAATGGAACATGTGACCCACAATGCTTAGGCCTACACTCTAACCACTGAGCCATGCTGGTCAGGGCCCAACTTTGTATTTAAGCCCCGCCCCCCCTCTTCATGTTGATGTATTTGTGTATAGATAACAGACCTAAAGAAAACACAGCAAAATTTTAACAGCGATTATCAGGAGTGGTGGAATGATAGGTAATTCTGATTTCTGCTTTATATCTTTTTGAATGTTTCAACATTTCTATGATGAACGTGTGTTATTATTGTAGTTAGGGAAATAAATTAAGAGTAGACTCAGACAAAACCAGTTTGGCTCAGCAGATAGAGCATCAGCCTGTGGACTGAAAGGTCCCAGGTTTGATTCTGGTCAAGGGCATGGACCTTGGTTGCATCCCCAGTAGGGGGTGTGCAGGAGGCAGCTGATCAATGTTTCTCTCTCATCGATGTTTCTAACTATCTCTCTCTCTTCTTCTCTGTAAAAATATCAATAAAATATATATATTTTTTAAAAAGAGTAGACTTAGAATATTGAGAAAAATTCTACCTGATCATTTTAAATCAGTATAAAGTATACAAGAAATAGGCTATAAAATAAAGAGGTGATATGCAAATTGACTGTCAAGCCCTCACACAAGATGGCTGCCCACAAGATGCTCGCCACAAGATGGCCGGAGGGGAGGGTAGTTGTGGGTGAACAGGCCTGCAGAGGAGGGAAGTTGGGGAGCAAGCCTGCAGGGGAGGGCGGTTAGGGGCAACCAGGCCTGCAGAGGAGAGGAGTTGGGGGCAATCGGGCTGGCAGGGAAGCAGTTAGTCATCTATCAGGCATCAGGGGAGTGGTTTGGGGGTGATTAGGCTGGCAGGCAGAAGCAGTTAGGGTCAATCAGGCAGGCAGGTGAGCAGTTGGGAGCCAGCAGTCCCAGATTGTGAGAGGTATGTCCCAGTTGCCAGTTTAGACCCAATCCCACAATCTAGGATCCCAAGCGGTCCCAGATTAGAGAGGTTGCAGGCTGGGATTAGGGACACCCCCATGCATGAGTTTCATGCACTGAGCCTCTAGTATTAACATAATGTCATTGAAGGAAATTCAAATAACATATAAAATGTAAGTCACAAAACTCCCCCATTAATGCATATGGCTGCTCCACCTCCTCCTGCATACAAATTCCCTCTTGTGGTAAAACCACTAGTAATTATTTGGTGTCCATTTAGCTCATGTATTTATTAGGAGTTTTGTACCATATCCTGCCAAGCAAATATACATACTTATTGGGTTATCTTATTCCTTTGTTTTTTTTTTTTTGTGTGTGTGTGTATGTGTGTTTTTTATATATGTTTTTATTGATTTTTTACAGAGAGAAAGAGAGAGGGATAGAGAGTTAGAAACATCGATGAGAGAGAGTTATCAATCAGCTGCCTCTTGCACACCCCCTACTGGGGATGTGCCCGCAACCACGGTACATGCCCTTGCCCGGAATCGAACCCGGGAACTTTCAGTCCACAGGCCGACGCTCTATCCACTGAGCCAAACCTGTCCTGGCTATTCCTTTGTTTTTTGATAATACCAATGACATTTTTTTCTTTTCTAATATTGTTTGTTCAGTGCTCCAGATCCCGAAACACAAGATGCCAGCATTCCATTGGAAAAACTTCCCCGGTGAGTAAAATCTTTAATCTATACTTGGTGTTCCAGGTTGTAAGAAAAGAAAAGTAAGAATCAAAATCCAAGTTCATTTGGTGAGATGCCTCTTAAATCCTCAAATGTAAATACAAGCCCTGCCCTGTGAGGCTAAGGGCAGAAGTGCAGAGGATGAACGAAACCTGTGGAAAGAGAACTGCTGCTTTCCAACCCTTCTTGCTTTTCATTAGTTACTGCCATCTTCATCCTCCTTTTTCTCCTCATCAATGTTATTAATCCCAGGTTTATGGAGACAGTGAAAGGTCTTGCAAAGATGAAATTATAGGACCAAAATGTTGTAGATTTTTTTTAAAACCTAAAAAGATTTTTGTCAAGTTTTCAAAGCCAGATATTAAAAAGCATTTCCAAATGTGTTTCAGAGAGAACTCTATCCATGTGATGTTCATAGGCATTGCTTGAAAAAAAAGATATTATGTGGTCAGATCACATTAGATTAAACCAAGTCTGAGTATGTTTGCTTTACTGTAGGACTTCTCAGGGCATTTTATATGCTAAAGTACATTGTTACTCTCTAAAAAGTGGTTATAATATGCTAATATTTCCCGGGTTTATTTGACCACAGAATCCTTTTTATTTTTCTTAATAAGGCTTTTCATTACTAAATGCTGAAATTTCTATCTGAAAGAACAGGGAATCCTGAGGGGTTCCTCAGTAGGACAATAATATGATAAAAATTATGTTTGGTGAGGTTATTTTAGAAGGTAGAATAAAATGACTAAGAGAGAATGGGGAGGAAATGGTGATAGATTTCTAGTAATTGATACTGGAGAACTTGGTTATAGACAGCACCAGAGAAAGGCGAATCTCAGAGAAAATAAAAGGAGGCCATTGATGAAATTAGGGGATGATTGGGGTGTTTGAGACAAATCTTAGTTCAGTGTGTCCTCCCAAGCCTGGGTCACTGGGCAGAGTTGTACCCTTGAGTGTGATGAAGTTACTATGAAAGAGAAAACTGCTTAAGAAAGAGAAGTCAAGCTTGGCGGAAACACATTTGTCTCTAAACTCCATGCATTCAGACAAAATAGAAACTTTATAAGGAAGTTAGTTAGTGCTTCATATTCAGGACAAGGTCCTATGGTTTGGGAGGGCAGGGATGGTGATCAGAGGATGAAGTGACTCATCTAGACCGACTGGTTTGGGGCAGCCGCTTGTCTTCCTCTGACCCTCCTGGGCAGACTTCGGGCAAGCTCAGCGTTGAGTTAAGGATGATGTTTTTACAGGTGTGAAGAGGCAGGGTGCGGGGGCCTGCTGCGACCTTACGTCGTGTGGTTTGGAGAAAACCTGGACCCTGCCATTCTGGAGGAGGTTGACAGAGAGCTGGCCCTCTGTGACTTATGTCTAGTGGTAGGTTTTGTTCTTCCTTGATTGTGGGGATTTTCTGAAACACCAGAGCTGGGGTGGAGATTAATGTTGTTCCTTCCCCTCTCTCCCTTCTCTCTCCCTCCCTTTTTTTCTCCCTCCCTCTGTCCCTTCCTCCTTTTTGCTTTCTTTCCTTCTTTCCTTCTCTTAAGATGTGTTTTGAGAGTTGTGGTGTTCTACAGAAAAACTAAAAAACAGTGAATAAGAATTTATTTTAAAATACAAAACAATGCAAGACCATGTCTTTGTCTTCTCAAATCCTTTCCTCCCACAAAAAATATCATGAAAAGAGCATGTTATTGGTCCTAATTTTTAAAATAATATATGTTCGTTATTAAATTTAATTGAGATAACACAAAAAGAGGAAATTAAAAATCCGATAATTCTACCATCCAAAAATAATTCGTTAGCATTTTAGTATGATTTCTTCTAGACCAGGGATGAGCAGACTGTGGCCTATGGGCCAAATCTTACTTGCCACCTGTCTTTGTAAATAAAGTTTTATTGGAACACAGCCATGCCATTTCTTTTTTGTGTAGTCTATAGTTACATTGGCAGAGCTGAATGTTTGCAACAGAGACTATATGGCCTATAAAATCTAAAAAACAAAACAAAACACAGCAGCACTATTTGGCCTTTTATGGAAAAAGTTTGCACACCCCTGGTCTAGATCTTTCCATATGCAGATGTACACATAGTGACTAAAAATTTTAAAAATGGGTTCATACATCCAAAACACTAATTAGAAAGAATATATGCACCCTATGTTCATTGCAGCATTATTTAAAGTAGTGAAGATATGGAAGCAACCCAAGTGCTCATCATTAGATGAGTGGATAAAAAAGATGTGGTACATATATACAATGGACTACTACTCAGCCATGAAAGGAATGAAATCTTACCATTTGTGACAACATGGATGGACCTAGAAGGTATTGTGTTAAGTGAAATAAGTCAGACGGAGAAAAACAAATACCATATGATTTCACTTACATGTGGAATCTAAAGAACAAAATAAATGAACAAAAAATTGAAACAGACTCAGAGATACAGAGAACAGACTGATGGTTGTTAGAGGTGAGGAGGTTAGGGGGCTGGGTAAAAAAGATGAAGGAATTGATAAGTACTAATTGGAAGTTATGAAACAGGCCTGGGGATGTAAATTATAACTTAGGGAGTCTAGTCAATAATCTATAATAATAAAAGCTTAATATGCTAATTAGACCAGATAACCTTCCAGACAAAGCTGTGGTGGTGGGGGCTGAGTCCCTTGCATGAATTTCGTGCATCAGGCCTCTAGTATTGCAGTAACTAGTATGAGGTAAGGTGGGTACTGGAAATACTGAGGGAAGCACTTTGAAAAGTATATAATAGTTAACTACTATGCTGCATACCTGAAACCAATATAAAATAACATTGATGTAAATAGTAATTTTAAATTTTTTTAAATGGGACTATATGTGTTCTGTTTTAAAACTATTTTATTCATGTAACAATTCAATTAGCATATTCCATATCAGCACATCATCTTTTAATTGGCTATGCAGTGTTCTGGTGTATGTTTTTAACCAATTTTCTATTGTTGGACATTTTGACTGTTTCAAATTTTGATATTTTATTTTTATTTTTTTTAAATGTATTTTATTGATTTTTTTTACAGAGAGGTAGGGAGAGAGATAGTCAGAAACATCAATGAGAGAGAAACATCTGTCAGCTGCCTCCTGCACACCTCCCACGGGGGATGCACCCGCAACCAACGTACATGCCCTTGACCGGAATCGAACCCGGGACCCTCAGTCCGCAGGTCGACACTCTATCCACTGAGCCAACCAGTTTGGGCTCAAATTTTGATATTTTAAATCAATAAAGAAATTTAAAAAATTTTTTTAAATATATTTTAAACAACATTATGGTGAATTGCCTCAGACATAACTCTTTTAAAAAATATGTTGATTAATTTTTAGGGAGAGAGAGAAACATTGATCTGATATTCCATTTATTTATGCATTAATTGGTTGCTTCTTTTATGTGTCCTGATGGTGTATCGAACCTGCAACCTTGGCATACCAGGATGATGCTGTAACCAACTAAGCTATCCAGCCAGGGCCTCAGACATAACTTTGAACATCCTCATCAAATTATTGTCTTAGGACAAATTTTCTAGAAATGGAATTAACTGGACAAAGGGTAGGCATATTTCACATTTTCCTTAACACTTCTTTAAAAGCATAGCCACTTTCTCATGGATGCATACTCATTCAGTCAGTATTTACTGAGTGCATCCCGAAGTTGAATACAGGGTCAGTGGCTAAGTGAAAAAAGCTGGTTTTCCCCAATCACCCCTGCACCCCTGCCTAAAACCTCAGTACTTAAGTTCTGGCTAAAAAAGAATTCAGAGTGAAGACTCAGATATAAGCAAAAGTTTATTTACAAAGTCACAGAGGTAGAAGAAGTGAGTCAGGGAAGAAATAAGCCAGCTAGTCTTCCCATTCTTGTAAAGAATTTTTATAAAACTATATCCATAGGAGATAATCTGAAAGAATATATATCAAATTGTGAACAGTTGTTATCTTGGGGTAGTAGGGTTATGAATGATACGTCTATTTTTTCTTTGAATTACCTAACTTAAAAAAAGGGATCATGGATTATTTACATCACTTCAAAGAGCAGAAACAAAAATAAAACTAACCCCAAAAGGTGATGAGTCATTTCGTTGCCACTCTCTCCGTTTGCACAACCCTCCTTTTCATAACACACCTTTCTGAGTTCCAGTGATCAGCCAAAAAGACACATCCTAACTCCTGATTTGCCCCTTAAATCCTTTCCATTTATCTCATCCAGCTTAGTCTCCCCTTACCGCCCCCCCAACCCCCCACATACACACCTGCAACCTTATGTGAGATTTTCTAAAAAAATGTTTCTTCTCGAAAAGTGTGGTCATTTGTCTGTTTCCATCTGTTTGCTTTGTAGGTGGGAACTTCCTCCGTGGTTTATCCTGCTGCCATGTTTGCCCCCCAGGTATCTGCCAGGGGTGTGCCAGTGGCGGAATTTAACATGGAAACCACTCAAGCCACTAGCAAATTCAGGTACAGGGATTACCAGGGTGGGAAATGGGAGGCATTGAGCAGGTTTGGACATGGTCATCTAAAGACATTTTATTGTTATGTTCTAATTAAAAAAAAAAAAAAGACTGAATTTGTGTTTTATTTGGTCTGTCGTTGCTTTTTTGGAAGAACAAAATATAGTTAACTGTAGACTAAGGTAACTCTGTCTTTTTACAAGAGGTTTGCCATAGTACTTTTATTTTTTCACGTTTTGAAAGCTTTCTTTGATTCCTTTGGCTTTGCTTTCGTTTGTCTTTTTAAGTAGATTTAGTGATGGCAGGCATTTGGATGTAGGTAAGCTGAACAAATGCTGAGCAGTAAGTCTTGGAGATACCAGCCAGAACTTCTTCCCACTGCTCTCATGGTGAGGCTTCGAGACACATGTCTCTGGTCTAATTGCCAAGAATATTTGTACTTGTGCTTTAGGATACTGATTCTGTTTTCCGCGTTTGTGTGGAAAGAGTAGATAGATCATCATAGTATGCATTTTTAGCCCCATTCATGTTTTCACCTTTTTTCCTTTCTTGTTTCACCCCTGCTTTTTTTGTCTTCACTTTTAATTTAGTTTATATCTTATTGTCAGTCTGCTTAATTCCTTTCGCAAATGAGATACAATAGAAATAACTAATAAACAATTCTAAAATACCACTGAAACTCTAGTTATTACTTCAACCAGTGGTTTTCAAACTCGTCTACATATTTTTAAAATACTTATGAGTTGGTACCACCCATGCCATTCTGATACAATATCTTCTCCAGATATTTTTAATCAGCTACAGTCTGCGTATGTCCTCAATCCATAGTTCTTTATTTTTGTGTAAGTGGTAAGAACTAGAAAGACATCCTTTTTTTTTTTTTAAATCACCTTGTATGTAAAACTTATACTCTGAAAACTATAGAATGCTACCAAAAGAAGTAAATAAAACCTAAATATATAGAAGGACATCCATGTATATGGATTGGGCAACTAATATCATGAATGTGGCAATACTCCCCAAATTGATTTGGAGATTCACCCATTCTATATCAAAATTGCCTCTGGCTTCTCTGCTGAACTGATAAGGTGATCCTAAAATTTATATGAAAATGTAAGGGACCCAAAAAGCCAGAACAAAGAGAAGAAAGAACTTGGGTAACTTATTCTTCCAAATCACAAAACTTACAAAGTCACAGCTTTCAAGATAGCGCGGCACTGACATGAGGGCAGACATGCAGATCAGGGGATAGAACCGATGGTCCCGGAAAACTCTCACTTATGGCCGATCGACTTTTGAAAAAGTATGAAGACAAAGCAGTGATGGAAAAAATAGTCTTTTTAACAAATGGTGCTGGAGAAGCTGGATAGCCACATGGAAAAGATTGGAATTGGACCCCTTCACACCATATACAAAAAATAAATGACATGGATCAGAGGCCTAAATATAAGGGCTACAAATATATAAAATTCTTAAACGAAAATGCAGGAGTAAATCTTTGTAACCTTTCATTTGTCAAAGCCTTTTATATGACATAAAAATCACAGGTAACATAAGAAAAAGTGGATAAATGATCACTTCTAGGCTTTTTGGCTAAGATCAAGTGTGAAAAATGGATTCATCGGACTTTATTAAAATTAAACTTCTTCAATGGACACCATCAATTAAGAGAAAAAGACAACCTACAGAATGGGAGAAAATATTTGCAAGTATAATATGTGATAAGGAATGAGTATCCAGAATATATAAAGAATTCTCACTACCCAATACAAAAGAAATACAATTAAAAATGGGTCAAACATTCCAATAGTTTTCCAAATATATACATAAGGTCAATAAACCCATTGAAAACATGCTGAACATCATTAATCATTAGGGAAATTAAATTAAACCCACAAGATATCACTTACCAAACTCTAGTATGGTTCTGCTGAAGTCCCTTCTTATCCATAGGGGATATATTCCAAGACCCTCCAGTGGATGCCTGAAATCGCAGATAGTACTGAACCTTATATATACTGTGTTTTCCTATGCATACATAGCTATGATAAAGTTTAATTTATAAATTAGGCACAATAAGAGATTAACAGCAATAACTAATAAAATAATTACAATAATCCTAATATATAAAAACCAGGGGCCGTCATGACCAAAACAACCAGATGGACAACTGAACAGCAGGCTGTGTGGAGCGACAAGGCTGGCAGGGGGGTTAGTGAGAAACAACCAAATGACTGAACGGCAGGCAGCGTGGGGTGACCAGGCCAGTGGAAGGAGGGGGGGGAAGAAGGGGGTTAGTTGTAGTAATCAGACCAGCATGTTGGGGGCGATCAGGTGGTAGGCAGAGGTGGTCAGGGATGATCAGGGGGGCAGTTAGGGGCGATCAGGCAGGCAGGCAGGTGAGCAGTTAGGAGCCAGCAGTCCCAGATTATGAGAGGGATGTCCGACTGCTGGTTTAGGAACGATCCCCAGGATTGGGCCTAAATCAGCAGTTGGTCATCTCCCAAGGAATCCCGGATTGGAGAGGGTGCATTCTAGGCTGAGGGGACCCCACCACCCATGCATGAATTTCATGAACTGGGTCTCTAGTATCCTAATTAATAAGAAGGGAATATGCTGATTGACCACCACACCATTGCAAAGATGGCAGCGCCCACAGCCAATAAGGAGCAAATATGATAATTGTTGCCCCACCTTAAAAATGGCAGTGCCCACAACCAATAAGGGGGAAATTTGCTAATTGATTGCCACCCCCCAAAAAAAGATTGCAGCACCCACAGCCAATAAGGAAAAATGTGCTAATTGACTGCCATGCCCTCAAAGATGGTGGTGCCCAGTCTCTTCACCCCTGTCAGCGCAGCCGGCATGTGGCCAAGAAAAAGGCAGCTCTGTGTGCATGCCTTCAGAGTTCCCCAGTTCCCTCAGCCCCCCCGCTGCCCAGGGTCAGCCCGAGGCGCACACAAGCCTCGGATGGTGGTTACCCAGACACCCAGGGCCAGCCCAAGACTCAGGTAACCAGGACCGGCTGAGGCTTGTGCCACTGGCAGTGGCAGCAGCAGAGGTGTGATGGGGTATCACCTTCCCCTGATTGCCAGGTTGCCTCCGCCACTGAGGGTTCTCGGACTGTGAGGGGGAAGGCCAGGCTGAGGGACTCCCTCTCTAGTGCATGAATTTTCATGCACTGGGCCTCTAGTATTGTAATAAAAGTGATGTGAGTAAAAAAGTATACAGTTACAGAAGGGAGTTGTTGGGATTCTTTGCAGCTTGTCCTGGGAAAATATGTTTTCTACTCATCTACAGCTTTATCTGTGTCTGTTATTCCCATCGAAGGATGGCAGGGCTGATTTTCACTGGCCAAGCTCAGTATTACCTTTTCAATGTCAATTGTAATTCTTAGTTTTTGGTTTTTCCTGATGGTCCTGCATGGGAGAACTGGGCTACATAAACCCCGACATGAAAGGAATTTTATATGGCATGGCCACTCAGATTTTGGACCTTCTTCCAAGTTGCATGCTAAAATGCCATAGTAATATTTTATTTCATTGCCTGTTACATGACAATTCTGTCAGACCCTCTTTCCTTTTTATTGAAAGCAAGGGTGAAAAGGCCATATTTGAATAAGGATGTGATATCCAGTCTTCAGAAAGCATTTGTTTTCTTTATCCTACACCAATATTTCAAATGTCTCTTTAGTTAGCACCCCATAGGTTTTCACACTCTGGGCTAGGACACCATCTAAGATTTGGGGTGAGTGAGGGATGCAGCCTGCCTTTGTGAAGTGGGGAAGGGTGTAGTGAAAAGGGGCACTTGACAAGTCACTTTCTTAGGAAGGAGACCATGTGGGATTGAGGATATGGAAATTCCCTGAAAGCTCTTCGTACCTTGGAGGCTATCCTTCTTGGACAGTCCTATGACCACTATGCTGGGGAGGAGCTTTCTAGCGGGCAATTTTCAACACGCTGAGTGTGGCACGAGTGGAAATGACACTTGGGATGCCCATTAATGGCATTTTGTGACATGAACAGTATTTAAGGGCTAAGGCATTGATGATTTGTGTTGCATCCGAATTGGTAATATGATAGATTACATTGAGCAAGTGCTTTTTTCATTTTTAATTGTGCTCAGATGGTTTTCTTAATTATACACTACAAATCTCTGCTATTTTTCTGCCCTAAGTGTTTTCTCTTGAAGGAAGCAGAAATCATTGATTTTTCTTCCTTCTCTTTGCTCTTTCTTTTTTTTTTTTCCTCCTTTCTGATTACAAGTCAGAGCTAGATGTGAAATGGTTGGTTTGAGGGTCCTATTGATGTAGCTAAAATCTTGTGATCTGAATGGTTCATGAAGTTATTTTTCTCTTGTCCTTAGTACATATGAATGCTATTTTAATGTAGTATGTAGATATCATAAAACGTAAAACTTTCATTATGGCCCTGTAGCTCAGTTGGTTAGAGAGTTATCCCAATTCACTAAGGTTTCGGGTTCAATCTCCAGTCAAGGCACATACAAGAAGCAACCAATGAATGCATGAATAAGTGGAACAACAAATCTCTCTCTCAAATCAACTAAAAACAACATTTAATGAGTTTGGCAATATGATCATGAAATACATTTTACAATCATATCTCCCTCTGCTCTTTAAAATAAAATTCTTTTTTATACCACCTAAATACTAGGTATTTAATTTACTAAATGTTCTTGATCACAAGGACCAACCCATGGTGAAATGTCTATATGTTGAGTTGTCAGAAACTAGATGAAAGAAGTGGGCACAAAAGCTCATCATGCCACATTTGTGAGAATTTGGATTTTACTTTGGGTAAAATTAAGAAATGTGTGACTTGCTGAAGGAGTATGTTGGTTTAGCTCCTAACTGCTATATTTGTCCTTCTGTTTCAGGTTTCATTTCCAGGGGCTCTGTGGGAAGATCCTTCCTGAAGCCCTGGCTCCTCATGCAGCTGAGATGGTTTCTTAATTGCCCTGGGGAAGGGAGAGACTGTAGTACATCTGAGTTCCAGGCCACAAACAGATGACGCACAGTCTTGTAGATGGGGAGCTGAATATTAGAAGATCTAAAAATATCCTCTGATTTACTGGCTGGGATCCAACCTGTTGATAAGTGGTAGGGGCTTTAAAGGTAACAGTAGCAAATATAATTACAAGAAGTCAGAGAACTGTAAAGTTAATGCATGTTATTTGGTTTGAACTTAAACATGACATACCTCTGATCCTCTGATGTGTTTGGTTGGTTATTGAGGGGGGAAATTCTAATTAGATTGTCTTAAAAATGTAATTATCCCAATTATATTTTTGCTATTTGGCAAAGAGAGAAGTAGACAGATAAAACATTGCTATTTCTGATTTTTATACAAATTTTGGTGGAAAATAAAACCACTCTTTATAGGAGGTAATATATGGTATACAGATGTGACCCTGAAAGATACACTTGTTGAGGATTTTTTCTTTTCCGCGTTTACCTTGTTTGGCTGCTTTACCTCAATGAATGTGGGATCTCCTAGAACAGGAACTCAAGAAGGAAAAGTAGCAACAAGGTAGAAAATCAGGATGAGGCCCACACCCCAAAGTGACACAAATATATAGATTCCAAAAGGTATTCACTACTGACTAAAATGTAGTACTAGCCTTTAAAAAAAAAAAAATATATATATATATATATATATATATATAATATATATATATATATATATATATAATTTTATTGATTTCAGATAGAGGAAGGGAGAGGGAGAGAGATAGAAATATCAGTTGGCTGCCTCTGAATGTCCCCTACTGGGGGACATGTGCCCTGACCAGAATGGAATCTGCGACCTTCTGGTGTATGAGATGATTCTCAACCAACTGAGCCGCACCAGCTGGGCAGTACTCGCCTTCTTAGCAGCCAAGAAGGAAAGGGAGAGGTGATGCTTGACTATTTCTTGATATTATAAACACAGAAGCCAAGCTTTCCCAGACACTGAATTCTGAAGGGAGTGTTTTCAATAAGACTTTACCTCAGAGTAAAGTAGCAAGAACATAGCTCTTCTCCTCAGGCCCCATACAAGCTGGAATGCCCACTTGTTCTCAGGCAAGCATCAGAGGCCTGACTGGGAGCAGTGGCCTTTAGTAAACAGTGTAGGAAGGCCATACATAACAATGGCCCTTGTATCAGCTGGTCCCTTGGGTGATTACACAGTCTCATCACCTCAGCCCCTTATAAGAATTGATTTAATGTTACATCCTTGACTTTTGTGGAAATAGATGACAAGACATGATCACACAAAACTTTGTACTGCATTTGCACGCCATCCTATCTAATAAAAGAGTAATATGCAAATTGATCATACTTCCATTACACCCTCCAGCCATGCCCGCCAGCCAATCAGGAGTGAATATGCAAATAAACCCAACCAAGATGGCTGCGGCCATGAAGAGCAGGAGTGAGGCTTGGGTTTCCCTGGCAATAGAGGAAGCCAAGCTTTCCGCCCACCCTTGCCAGCCTAGGCCTCCACTCAATGCTACAAAGTTTTAATGTTAGAAGATAAATATATCCCAACAAAAATGGTGGCAGCCACAGAGCTACAGAGAGCAAGAGGCTAAGGTTGCCCCCAGTGATGGAGGAAGCCAAGCTTCTGCAACCCTGGCCAGCCTAAGCCTCCACTGCAAGCTACAAAGTTTCAATTATAGAAGATAAATAAATCCCAACAGAAATGGCTGCTGCCATGGAGTGAGTAGAAGGCTTGACTCCACTCCAGGATACAAAGTTTCAACTGTAGTAGATAAATAAATCTCAAATACCAGGGCCTCTGCTTGGGTCACCGGGGGGCATGGCCAACCTGCAAACCACCACAGGCCCCTTGCCTAGGCCGCCCCACATCCCAAGGAAACCCCTACCCTGATCCAGGACACCCTTCAAGGCAAACCAACTGGCCCCCACCCATGCACCAGGCCTCTATCCTATCCAATAAAAGAGTAACATGCAGATTGACGGTCACTCAAACACACAATATAGCTGCCCCCATGTGGACACAAGATGGCCACCATAAGATGGCAGCAGGGGAGGTCAGTTGGGAGGGACCAAGCCTGCAAGAAAGGGCAGTTGGGGGTGATCAAGCCTGCAGGGGAGGGCAGTTAGGGGTGACCAGGCTGGCAGAGGAGGGAAGTTGGGGGTGAGGGAAGTTGGGGGTTACCGACCTGCATGGAAGGGCAGCTGGGGGCAAATAGGGTGACAGGGGAACATTTAGGCATCAATCAGGCTGCCAGGGGAGTGGTTAGAGGTTAGAGGGCAGGCAGATGAGCAGGCAAGCAATCCCGACCTCTCACAATCCTAGATTGTGAGAGGTCGGGATTGGGCCTAAATGGGCAGTCAGATATCCCTCGAGGGGCCCCATATTGGAGAATGTGCAGGCTGGGCTGAGGGACACCCCTCTCCCCCATGCACAAATTTCGTACACTGGGCCTCTAGTTTATATATATATAAAACCCTAATATGCAAATAGACCAAACAGTGGAACAACAGAACTGGTCACTATGACATGCCCTGACCACCAGGGGGCACGTGCAGAACATGCCGGGCCATTGGCTGCGGCAGGATGGTGGATCAGGTGAACGGGGGCTCCTGACCAAGGCAGGGCACGGTCGTTGTCATCGGGTGAGCCTCTGGTGGTTACTGAAAATTCTTTGCTCCCGTGTGCCATGGTACCACTCTGGTACTCACATCTGCTGCCAGAGCTGTCACTATCAGCCCATCCCCACTCTGCTTGGCCCATCAGCGGGTGTGAGCAGCGGCTGCTGGCTCTGATCGCTCCTCAGGGCTTCTCCATCTCCCCTTGCTCCTGAGGGGTGATCAGGGCAGCAGCTGCCACTCCCATTATCGGCACTGGCCCAACTTGCACCCGCTGCTGGTGCCAGCCCCAATCGCTCCAGGAGTGCCAGCAGGGCCAGTGCCATGAGCACATGGGAGTGGTTGCGGCAGGAGCGAGGCTGCAGGCAGAGGGGGACCGGGGGCTGCAGTGGAAGGAGCCAGGCAGGGGTGCAGAGGATGGGCGGAGACTTGCTGCTGTGCTCACTGCAGCCTCGCAGCTCACACACAGTCAAGGTACACGGATTAATGCACTGGGCCCTTAGTACCTTTTAATAAATCCCAAAGGCTCTTGGCATAGAGGAATGGTCATAACCTACAAGGTATCTGAAGGGCCAGCCTTTAGGGTTCACTTCACACTTGCCACGAGTGGCTCAAGGCATATATACTGAAGGGACTGTAATACTTATAATGTAGTTTTTGCACATAAAATACAATTGTTCTCTTTTAATAGGTTTGTTGTTGGGTTTTTCTGTTACTTTAAACATTTTCCTAGTGTTAGCAATGATGGAAGTCAGTATGCTGTCTCAGAGTCTGATTATTTTTAATTTCTGTCTGCCCAAGGCCCAGATATTTCAGTACTGCTCTTTGCAACTTCTCTCAAATTGGGCTTTGGTACGAGCGTCTTTATGTATGTGTTTTATCATTTCTGTTCATGTTTTGGTTTTATTAGAGAAAATGAAAGGAGAATTGAAAAGAAAGATGTGAGGTAGAAATTATTCAATTTAGCATTATCGGATGTCTACCACATGATAGGCATTAGAAATATAATTAGTAAGATGTGGGCCTTGCCCTCAAGGTCTTGACAGAATGTTGGAACAACTGTCATGTGCACTGTTATTTAATGTAGAAACTGCAATAATAGAATTTTGTTCAAGATTCAGAGGAGCCAAAACCGGTTTGGCTCAGTGGTAGAACGCCGGTCTGCAGACTGAAGGGTCCCGGGTTCGATTCCGGTCAAGGGCATGTACCTGAGTTGCAGGCATATCCCCAGAAGGGGGTGTGCAAGAGGCAGCTGGTCGATGTTTCTCATCGACATTTTTAGCTCTCTCTCTCTCTCTCCCTTCCTCTCTGTAAAAAATCAATAAAATATATATTTTTTAAAAAGATTCAGAGGAAAATGTAGTTAAAGATGGGTGGAGTGGGATTGGTAGATTTTAAGGTCTTTGACTTTTAAAGGAAGTCAGACCTGGCCTGTTTCAGGTATAAATAGTTCCACGTGGGGGTGTGTGTATCATAAAGGGGATAGCATGTACAAATGGATGGCAAGTGTGAAACGTTGGTTTGATCAGAGAATGATAGCTGACTCACTTGGTATTGTATAATGGGTGTGAGAAGATAAACACAGGTCAGAAGGGCGATGTATATTCCAAAAAATGGAATATACTTAGGAGGACAAAGAAATAGTATTAGAGTTGCATTCATTAAGTGCAAGGTGGCATTCTTTCATGGATCCAGGATTTGGGATGGGCTGGCCATTGTTCAAGGTCTGGGGGTTGCACCAGGGAGCCAGGTGGGTTCCCTGTTCGCTCACAGAGCTCCCATGTAAATGGGGGAGAGGGTGAGGGGCAGAGCCCGGTAATAAACTGGGAAGTTGTCAGTGCTGAAGCAGTACAGAGGCAGGGACAGACTGGTGGAGGAGCTGGTGGCCTAGCACACATTTGGTGCCGGGAACTGATTTAATCCGGTGTCTGTCAACTTCTGGGTGACAACAGGTCCTGCCGCTACAGCGCATTTCTCCCCTTTGAAAGCCACTTCTTCGGCGAGTGCGGAGAGAAGGGAGTCAGATCCACGCACGCTGTTAACTGGATGGACCAAAAGGATCCTGGTGCTAAAAGCGTGGTGACGGGCCACTGGGGCTGCGGTCACCCAGCTCCTGGGCACGGGATGGCGTGACCCGCGCCAGCCCGCCTCGAGGAGGCGGGGACTCGGCCAAACCTGCTCTCAGCACCCCAGCCGGCAGCGCAGCACGGCGTCCGCCCGGCCGGAAACCCCCGCGCCCACCGGCTCCCGCGGGGGCCTGGGCAGCGGCGAGAAGGGAACCCCGCAGCCCCGAGCGCTCGGCGTCAGGGCCGAGCGGAAGGAAACGCCCCCCGCTTTCCTTAGGCCACGCCCTTCCCCGCCCTGCGCATGCGCCTCCACTCGCTCTGGGGCTTCAGAACGTGCAGGGAGCGACTAAACCTGTGTCGCTTGTTCTTGGCGTCACGCTGGGCTTGCGGGCTGCTACTTCCGGGTCAGAGGTCGTTCGGTCCGGCGCGACTCAGACGATGGTGCAGCTCCGACCGCGCGCGTCCCGCGCTCCCGCGTCGGCGTCGGCGATGGTGGACGAGGGCCAGCCCGCCTCGGAGGAGGCGGAGCACGGCCTGCTGCTCGGGCAGCCCAGCAGCGGCGCGGCCGCCGAGCCCTTGGAGGAGGACGGGGACGGGGATGACGAGTTGGACGACGAGGCCCCGGAGGAGCTGACTTTCGCCAGCGCCCAGGCGGAGGCGAGGGCAGAGGAGCGGCGAGTTCGGGAGACGGCGCGCAGGTGGGAGCGCCCGGCGGGGCCCGAGAGCCGTCCCTCCCGCCCGCTGTCTGTCCTCGCACTGACTTGTCTCCCTTTCTCTCAGGGATAAAACACTCCTGAAGGAGAAGAGGAAGCGACGCGAGGAGCTGTTCATTGAACAAAAGGTTCGAGTTGCGGGGAGGCACCTCCTTTTTAAAAAAAAAAACAAACAAAAAAAAAACCGGCGTTGGGTAGAATTTCCGTGTTTGTTGCAAAGCTGGTAGGAGGTGGAGGAAAAGTCCACTTGTTTCTTCAGACATCGGGGGAAGCAAAGATGGCCGTACTTTGCTGCCCACCTCTTAAAAATGGGAGTGGGGAGAGCTGAGTTTGAGATCATGCGGTTAAAACCCAGCGCTGACACTCGGCTCGCCGTGACGTCCGTCACTGCCCTCCGGGGGCGGTCTGTCTGTCACCGCTGCTGCCGGACCCATGAGGCGCTTTGGACTCAGGGCTGTACGCTCCGCTGTCGGGTGTCTGGCACATTAGCCACAGGGAGCTGACTCCAGGAGGACGACTTACCTGCGTTCAGGGTAGACAGTGGTTTGAAGGGTGGACACCCTTTCCAGCCCTCACCAGATCTTCCAAAGAATGTCGAATGGGTTCTGAGCTTTGTGGCCGCGGTTCTCCCCCAGCTTGGAGAGATTGGAGGCAGTGGTCAGCCTAAATCCGCTCTTTGCCTCGGTCAGGATATAAGGCAGTCCCTAAGCCTGTCACTGCAGAAGCAACCCAGGTATATTGTCATGTACCTCACTCTATTCTTTTAAAATGTCTTTAAGAAAAGGAAACTCCTTCCAGACACTGTTCTACAGAAGTTGACTACAGCTTCACAGACAAAGTAAGAAATGGATCTTGTTACATTACTTGCTTACACATACACCCAACTCTGAAATAAATATTGGAGCATTTATTTGAACCCACCGAATTAAAGAAATAAAGCCTAAATTGGACAGTAAAGCTTAAATTTACACAGATTTTTTTAATTTGGTGGGAAAGATGAAAGTATTTTACCTCTTTTCAATATTCCACCATTTCTTTTTTGTTCATTTCCACTGCCAATTTGAGCTTCTGAGTTCCTAATCCCAGAGTATTTATAAAACAGTTGTTGTGTATCTGTCATTATACTGGGCAGGATGGATGGTTAATAAAACAAAGTGCCTTGAAGTTTATCTTTAGTGGAGTAGCAGATATTTTCCTGCAGGCTCCTCCTAAAACTAAACTTGTCCCATACTCGCCTTACCTGCCACCAACCTGTCCTTCCTCCTTAGTCTCCATTTCATTTAGCAGTTTTGCCATCCACCAAGTGTTTTAAGCAAATAGTCATCCTCTTCCTCATCTATCCCATGAAATCAATCAAACCTTACTCGGTTTTAACTTTTAAATATTTTTCTCTCCTCTTAATGTTTAGACCCATATCTTTGACCTGGTTTTCAAATGTCCTGTAGAACTTTTCTAGTTATTCAGATAGTGAATACATTAAACAAAAACAATGTATTTGGTGGCAGATTCCCCTTTTATCTTTTAAAACCAAACTCCAGTGTCACCTCCAATTCTCTCCACCCTCCCCATTACTTCCTCCTTGTCGCTTTTGTAGTGTGTATGGTTCAGGCATCTCATACTGTTTTGTCATTTTTCAGACCAGATTCCTTGAGCCTAGTCCATCTCCCTGCTTGTCTCTTATGCTTGAACTGTTGAATTGATTCATTGTGACTTCTATAAATAAAGAGGCCGGCCTACCACTTTCCACTTTGTATTTCACCTTTCACTTTACCTCCAATCTGCTTCTTTGAAGCCTGTTGATATGCTTTCACATTTTAAATTGAGAAGATACTCCCATCCAATATATACTACACTGTTTCCCCGAAAATAAGACAGTGTCTTTTATATTAATTTTTTTCTCCCAAAGTTGCGCTAGGTCTTATTTTCAGGGGATGTCTTATCTTTCCATGCCCAAGGTCTTATTTTCGGAGGATGTCTTATTTTCGGGGAAACACGGGTAGTTTGTTGATTGGGAGTTGGTGACCATGAATTTAAGGGGGTGACTTGCTTTCCAAAACTGATTAAAGATCCTGAGTCAAAACTGAGAGTGGTGGTAATTAAAAAGGGTATCTTATTTGTAAAATTTAACTGTGTAATGAGTTAAGTAATCTTTGCTGTCTGTCATTCCAATCAGTGTTTCTGTGTTCTCCCTTAGCATAAAGAAATCACCAGGAAAATTAAAAGAAGGTATGAACTATTCTAATTTAAATAACTTCTCATGTAAGTGTCAAGAGCATTTGTAGTCCAATGTTACTGGGAATAAGAATGCCTGGCCAAGTTTAGTTTGGGCCTGTTGCCTCATTTCTTACAAATTGATGTGAGTAGATAATTAACAATGAACTCCAGGAAATGTTCTTGATTTATTTTTACGAAAGTGCTAACTAGAAATAAAACTCAGTTTTTTATGTTTTAGATAAATCGCAGAAGAAAAATGAAGAATGGGAAAAAGGAAATGAGTCCAAGAAAGCTAAAGAAAAAGTACAATCTATTGGGTAAGAAGAGTCTTTTTTTTCATGTAGGATATGAAAAAGGTAATTTTTTGAGAAAATTGTTGGCTTATGTGGGAAATACTTTAATTAGTAGCAGTTTCAGATTGAATCCTCTGGGAAAACCAACTGTAATACTTATATAAAAACAAAATATTTGCTCTTACTAAAGTGTAAATAAAAACAAAATATTTGCTTATTAAAAATGTAGGTATTAGCCTATTTCTTATAAAATAGCCCTGGAATTTATTTTTTATTATACTGTGCATTTTGTTTTCACTTTTTGAGACAATTAAGAAAAATACTTTAAGCATGTTATCAACCTCATTAATTTTGACTTTTTGTTTTGACTACCAGCCAGAATAAAAGTTACTTGGCTCGAAGGCTAAAAGATCAAGATCTGAGAGATTCAAGGCAACAAGCAGCCAAAGCCTTCATACAAAATTCTTTGTATGGTCCAGGAACCAACAGAACTACTGGTAATTTCCTTATGGGCTGTTTTTCTCACTTTATATTGCAAGTAAACAAAGAAATGATAAATAATTCTCTTTTCTAGTAAATAAGTTCCTGTCTCTTAATAATAAGAGGTTACCAGTGAAAAAGGCCGCAGCCCAGTTTTTGAATAATGGTTGGGGTAAGGTCCAGCTTTATTTTCTTTGTTATGTTAGTTTTATATATTGAATAATATTCTTTTTAAGAAAATAGTAAATACTCAAGTATGAATTACTTTTTTTCCCTTATAATGGCTTCTATAATTAGTACTTTTAAATTGCTTCTGGAAAACAGGTCAGTACAGTATGTATGTATATCTGACATAAAATCTAATAGAGCTAATTTTAGTATTTATATTCATATAGGTCTATATTATAGAGGATCTTGAAAAATTTTAATTCTTTCTTGGGAATTTTATATTTATAGTATTCTTACTGCACAAACTTTCTATTATAGGAACCCAGAAAAAACAAAATGCCAAGAGGTTTAAAAGACGGTGGATGGTCAGAAAGATGAAAACTTCTAAGAAGTAAATCAAAGCTAAATAAAGAATGAGAACTTTGTATGTATGGAACTACAGTTATTTAGTTTAAAAGATTAATTTAAAATTAATAAATGTAATAAAAATCTAATAAATAATTTTAAAGGATTTACAAAAGTCACAAATCTATTTGGGGAAATACCCCATCACATTTCATCCTTCTGAAATAGTCTTTGAGGGTCCCGGAAGAAATAGCAATTTAAAAGGAATTGTCTTGCCGAAACCAGTTTGGCTCAGTGGATAGATAGAGCGTTGGTCTGCGGACTGAAAGGTCCGGGGTTTGATTCTGGTTAAGGGCATGTACCTTGGTTGCGGGCACATCCCCAGTAGGGGACGTGCAAGAGGCAGCTGATTGATGACTCTCTCTCATCGATGTTCCTAACTATCTTTCTCCCTTCCTCTCTGTAAAAAAAAAAATCAATAAAATATATTTAAAAAAATAAAAGGAATTGTCTTCCTTTTTATAAACATTTATCCACTTAATTAAATACAAATGATGATGCTAATGGTACCTCTTCTGCCCTTTCCCAGTTCACAGAGTGCGTGCGTTGTGGCAGGAATGGCAGGGAGGAGGAGAAATGGATATCCAGGAAGTCTTTCTAACTGCAGCTCTCAGATGGCTTAGAATCTCAGATGTTTTGGTGCTATTGATGAGAATTTGATTCACAAAATATAGAATGAGAAAGAGAAATAGCTATGAAAATACAATACTTAAGTATAGATAAATACCTACTTTTCTTAAAGATCCAAACCTCAGTGTACAAAACAGTCAACCGAAGTGTATGGTCATCTTGAACAGCTGTTTAAGTTTTATTTTTAACTGGTTTGGGGGTTTGCTTTATTGTCAAGTAACGTGTGTTTATTGTGATTATGAAAATAAGGACATTAATTTTCCCCTTTCTGTGTCATCCACATTATATCAGGTTTGACCCTAATACAGGGAGGCTAGTAAACAGAACAGTTTTAGGTTATGGAATTTAGACTTATCGTAAAAATTCTTCCTTTAGCTCTAATTTTATATTAATCATAAGAAATATATAAGTACCTAATATATAAACTCAGTTGACACTAATATCTGTAGAAGTAAATTTTTAATGGCTGGTTAATTATATCACTACATTTTTATTGCAATATAGTACTCATTTAAGCACTTAAAAATGGAAGGTGTACAAAGATTAAATTAAGACACAGTAAATTGACTAAATATTTGGTTTTTATATAAATAAAGGTCATAACCACACCGTTGACATATAATACTGTTATAATACAAGTTAAACTTGTGAGTCTACAACAGAATTCGTTGGTAGTTAAACAGGGAACAAAGTTGAAAAGACCATGTTAAAACAAAACTACTGGGACTAACAGGTCGGGATTGTAAGTAGCAACAAACATATTCACTCAGCTCCTGAGTATTTCAAGTTTTACAGTACACATTAAAAATGATTTCTTCCATCAACACTATAAATTCAAACTGTCAGATGTTTATGCATTTTGCAAGTTACACTGATTGAATGCTTATATGGGAGTGGGGGTTGGAACATCTCCCAATTTGAAATTTACATCACCCACATGCTAACACAACACAACTTGTTCCATTTCCTTCCCCCTCTCGCCCCCCAACAAAGGCGGCAGGATTTTTTGGTTTCTTTTAGGTAATTGTTTTAAAGGATTTGTGATGATAAATTTGAACGTCTGAGATTCAGTAATATTTAACTCTTAGACAACTAAGAGATTAAAGATGGAAAATAATTTCTCCTAACACTAAGTTAGAAAATCATGTGCATCATGCTGTAAACTAGGAAGCAATGTAAAGCGACAAAAACCTGTCCCCAGTACATAATTAAAAAAATCTAAATTTCAAATCAGCAGACCTGGTCTACTTCCATGTGAACTCCTTGAATGCATAGCTAATGTAGGTAGTCTTCCACTGTGGCAAATGCACAGGATCCAATTCCTGACCGAGCCATCAGTCCCAAACATTGTGTGGCCTGTCCCATTGCTAGTGCGAGTGGAGGTTGCTTTGGCAGATTGTGGGTTTCTGAGGAAAAAGGATTAAAAATGAAAATAGCAATTAGCAAGACATTTTTAAAAAACTCATCTTTTAAGGAAAATATTGCACATTATTTACAAAATTATCAATGCATATATAACTCTTAACTATCAAAGGTAGTTTCTAAGCAAACGATTAATACCTTAGAAATACTACTCTGACGAGGTCATATGGTACTAGGTATTAAATTATAAGGGAAATCCTTGCAGAATTAGACTTTTAAAGCCTTAATTACTCTAAATATTTTGCTTCCATATTAACTACAATGGGAAAGATATTTTTGGCTGCGATTTTAATGGGGGAATAAGGAATATTTAGTATTTCTCTTATAGGTTAGAAAAAGGCACCAGGGTTTCAGTAAATTTCACTGATGGATTATTCTTCTGGGGATAGAACACAACTGATTCTGCCTAACTGTTTCCAGAGCATATTAGTAAATGATATTTGGGTTGGTAAGGAGCAAGGGGTGATGGTCACCATGAGAGACGATAGAGCAAAATTACTTAAAATTTTAGAGGAGTCATTTACAATTCATAGTTGAAATATTTTAACTATCAATAAAATATTCAGGGTCCTACATAACAGAAATATGTCAGAATTTATAGTACAAATAATATTTGTTCTATGCTAGAAATGAAAAAAAGTGAACGAATGATGAAAGTGGCCAAACTTATAGAAGTTGGTACTTTTTCCTTGTGAGTAGATGAATTTTAAGTTTATATAGATTCCCAATTAATGATCTGTTAACAAAGTGCAAAAACAGTGATAAATGACTGCTAAGGCTCCCTATGATTTAATTTAAAGGTAATTTCAGAGAGAGAAAAGTTCTAGGAGTGAAACAAAAATAATGAAGCAAGTTCAGGATTTAAAGTACAAGAGGAAAGAAGATTAAGAAAATAAGAATAAGACTGCAAAGAAAGATACAAAGATTGGTGAGAAGGTATAGTTTGAAAAGTGGTCTTTGGATTAAGATTATTAAAATACTGGCTATCCTGTGGCAAGAGTCTATTTAGCTAAATTTTGATAGTGATAAACTTTTTTTTTTTTTGCCAACTCTACACAGGGTTGATTTTGTAATTTTAAATAATTCTGCCTTAATTTGAATTCCTTTAAAAAATATCTCCCTGAAGGTTTTCAGGGAAATAACCTCATTGAAAGGTAAATATCTAGAAGTACTTTATTACAATTTTATTTGGCCAAGTGAGGCACCTGGTTATAAGCATTTAAAAATTTTTTCTTAGTCCGGCCACCAGTATATGGCTCATAGCTGATCATTTACCTATGAACCAGGAAGTCATGGTTTGATTCCTGGTCAGGGCACATGCCCAGATTGCAGTCCCCAGTCAGGGGTGTGCAGGAGGTAGCCAATAGATGATTCTCTCTCATCATTAATAATGATGTTTCTATCTCTATCTCCCTCTTCTCCCCTTCCTCTTAAGTCAACAAAAACATTTTAAAAAATTTATTTTTTTGTTTGTTGCCGAAATCGGTTTGGCTCAATGGATAGAGCGTCGGCCTGTGGACTGAGAGGTCCCGGGTTTGATTCCAGTTAGGGGCATGTTCATTGGTTGCGAGCACATACCCAGTGGGGGTGTGCAGGAGGCAGCTGGTCGATGTTTCTCTCCCATCGATGTTTCTAGCTCTCTATCCCTCTCCCTTCCTCTCTGTAAAAAAAAATCAATAAAATATATAATATATATATATATATTTTTTTAAATTTTTGATACAAAATTTGCAAGAATTACATACAATTAATACAACTTCAAGCACTAGTTGTAGATTACATAATTTAGTATTTATAGATATGCAGACAGCTCCTATTATTAAATTTAAGCACTATTTTTGGGCAAACCTACATAATATGTAGTACAATATATAATACATAATATATTGGATAATGGTCCCAAGTAATTTATTATTTTAAAATTTAATCCCCTTGAAGAACACAAGATATAGAAAACTTTTAAGAAAACTGATTACTTTTCAAATTTTTCCAGATTTGAGTGGTACCTAAATGCAAAGCAATGATAGGGCTTCATGATTACTGATAATGTAACTTAAAAAAATACAACTATAGCAAATCATAGTATAGCAAGCCATAATTTGCCCTACAATCGCAGCACTGCTACTAAGCTATATATATATATTTATTTTTACTAGCAAAGCTACATGAACTTCATGACCAAAGAAATTATAACACAATTGCAAAGAAAACTCACGTTATTTATTACATACAAATTCTAAATTTAAGAAAAAATACACTAAGATATTACTCTTATTCCAAATCTAATATAAGACCTTAGCACAATGAGTTAAAAATGAATTTTATAAGGAAAAAAGAAGAACAGATTAAGGCTCAAATATGAATACTTTTATTTGCTTGCTTTATATTCTGGCCATAAAAGAGGAATTAGAAAGTCAGGTGAAAAATCACTCTTATCTGAACTACCTTTGAAAAGAATTGCCTAGAAATTAAAACATAGCTTTACATAATTAACCCTATAGAGTTTAAATATAAATGCACAAAATGTACAGTTACATAATTCATAGAAAAAGACTTGTTCAACATATGAACACTACAATCAGAATCTGTGGTGAGCTGGCTCATAGGAATGGCCATCAACCAGGGAAACAGCAAATTCCAATTTTTCACTTCATGTTCACCCCTGGCTAAACTTATTTGAATTGCTGTTCTCTTCCTCACACACTTTCCCCCCTATTTTTATTTTATTATAAATTTCTTTATTGATTAAGGTATCACATATTTGTCCTCAATGCCCCATTTCACAGCGCCTCCCTCCACTAATATACCCACCCCCTTTATTGTCCTTGACCACTGGTTAGACTCATATGCCTCACACACTTTTTATTAGGGAAGGGCATGTAGTTGAATATGCTTAACTTTAATGCAACTATAATCTGACAAAGGATTAGAAGTGACAGGGCATTTCCAAGTCACCTGGAAGCCCCTTTGTGCCTGTATCTGAAGCATGGTGGGAGTTGTAAAATGGGTGGCTCAGGCCAGAAATATTTACGTACACAAAAATTTCTAATTTCCAAACTTCCCAATTACCATTGATGTGACTTTGACATAAAAAGGATGCACCCCAATGTACTGTTTTATTCCATTTGAATCCATTTAATCTGGAACAAAAATAATGGAGGAAGATTACTGTATTCTGAGGTAATCTTAATTTTAAAATGTAGGGAACCTTTCCCTTATGATTTTACTAAAATATAAAATGTCAACACAAATACCACCTCAAATATTCAAAGTATCTATTTGGAGTTGTGCTTTTTAGCTTCACTTACCTAATATTGCACTGTTAAGAGCTGAGCATACAGGTTCTCTCTGAATTGGGTCCAGCTGATTTCCAACAGGGCTGTTCCAAGGATCTGAATAAGCTAGTAAGCTGAATGCATCCTGTTGAAAACAGCAATTTGGTTTTTAGTTCAAATAGTTCCAACTACTATGCTCACCATGATTACAAATTGAGAGTCTGGTAAAATACAGTTTTCAGGCACTATACTACTGTGACATTTAAACCCATTTACTAGATTATGAAGCAAAGCCTGATTTTTCATTCTTTTTGTAAACACATTCTCATTTTCCCCCTATCTCTACAATACATACAGAGCAGGAACAAACACTACAAATTTAAAGAATGGATTCCTGTGAAATGGGCTAATACTGGTTAAGTTAAAGAGGAAGTACTGGTTAAGTTAAAGAGGAAGACAAAGCATTTTTAAAAAAAAATCTTTATTGTTCATACTATTACAGGTGTTCCTCTCCGCCCACCCCCCCATAGCTCTCCTCCACCTGATTCCCAACATCACCCCATGCCCTTACCCCGCCCCGTCTTCACCCATAGGTGTAAGACTTCTGTCCAATCTCTTCCCTCAGAACCCTTCCCCCTGAGAACTGTTAGTCCAATTCCTTTCCATATCCCTGATTCTATGATATTCACCAGTCCATTTTGTTCTTTAGATTTTTTGATTCACTTGTTGGTAGTATGTATTTGATGTCTTTTTGTTGTTCATAATTTTTTAGCTTTACCTTTTTCTTCTTCCTTTTAAAGAATACCCTTCAGCATTTCATATAATACTGGTTTGGTGTTGATGAACTCCTTTAACTTTTTCTTGTCTGTGAAGCTCTTTATCTACCCTCCAATTCTGAATGATAGCTTTGCTGGGTAAACTTGGTTGTAGGTTCTTGTTCATCATTTTGAATATTTCTTGCCACTCCCTTCTGGCCTGCATAGTTTCTGTTGAGAAATCAGCTGACAGTCATATGGGTACTCCCTTTTCCTCTTGCTGCTTGTAAGATTCTCTCTTTGTCTTTTGCCCTTGGCATTTTAATTATGATGTGTCTTGGTGTGGTCCTCTTTAGATTCCTCTTGTTTGGGGTTCTGTGCGCTTCCTGGAGTTATAAGTCTATTTCTTTCACCAGGTAGGGAAAATGTTCTGTCATTTTTCTTCCAATAGGCCTTCAATATCCTGCCCGCTCTCTTCTTCTAGCACCCCAAACATTCGGATGTTGGTACCCTTTAAGCCGTCTCAGAGGTTCCTTACACTATCCTCACAGTTTTGGATTCTTCTTTCTTTCTTCCCTCCCCTCCCCTCCCCTCCCCTTCTTTCTGCCTCTCTGGTTGGGTGATTTTTTCTTCCTTATATTCCAGATCTTTGGTTTGACTCTTGGGGTATGCTGATCTATAGTTTAGTTTCTGCATATTCTTTATTTCAGATATAGTATGCTTAATTTCTGACTGGTCCTTTTCCATTTTTTTGGTATTCTCCTTAAGGTCCTTGAAGGTCTCTCAAAGCTTCTTGGAGGTCTCATCAAGTTCTCAAAGGTTTTCAGAAGATTCTTGAGTTATCTTATAAATGTGATTCTGAACTCTGTGTCGTCCAATAGTTTACTTTCCTCCATCTTTCCCATTCGTGACATGCTTATGTGTCTCATTTTGGCTGTCTCCTTGTGTCGATGGAGTGGCTTTGTATGGTAGGTGGCATATAGGGGCCAGTAGCTCAGCTTCCCCAATTACCTGAGGTGGTCGCTTTTGGTATATCCCTTTGTGGCCTGAGTGCAAAGTCTTGGTGTAATTAAGCCTTGATTGCTGTTGGTACACTGGGAAGAATTGATCTCCAGGCCAATTGTCTGTGAGGACCCGCTCTGTCTATAAAGGAAGAACTGCTGCGCTGGAGACATGCCTTGTTTCAGTGGGGCTCTGGTGCTCACTGAGTCCGTCTACCGAATGTGTCACTTATGGGTGTGAGGGGTTGAAACTGACCACTAGGAACACTGGCTTCTGGATCTCCAATGGGGTGCAGTTCAGCTACTGTCTGAGGCCACCCTGCAGGAGCTACAGCAAGAACCTCTATCCTCTCTCCCTGCTTGGGGCTGTCTGCACCAGGTTGTTGCAAGTTTGTTAGGTTAAACTGCAATAGAGAAGGCCATTCATATGCAAAAGCCACTGCTTGGAGCTTGCATGTGTTTGTAGGTTGTGGGGGTGGAGTCTCAGGGCATCACTAGGTTGGGGTGTGGCCAACAGCGATGGCTCCCTGTCAGTCGCCTCTCCGACCTGCCTGTGTATTGCACCACAGCACATCAAACAATTATCCTTGCGTGTAGCTCTGCAAGCAAGCCACCCTCACTTTCCGGCCTGATGGCAGACAGTGTAGCCTCTCCCCAAAAACTGGATTTTAGAGAGATCGGGAGCTTGTCTCTCTTCCAGTTGAAGAAAACAACACTCTCCGCCAGCTGGGATCCGTTGCTAGTCCGTATCGCGTCCGCCCCGCCCCCTCCCCACCTCAGTTTTTCAGCGCTTGTGCCCTGAATGCTCCTTTATCTTTCAGTCTAGTCGTAGAGCTTCCACTCAGCCAGCCCTCCCTTGGCTTTGGGTGATAGCTGTTCCATTTTTTAGTTGTAGTTTTGAAACTGTTGTGTACGGCAGAAGTTCAGGTGTGTTTACCTACGCCGCCATCTTCTTTCCAGCATTTATTATACATACTCTACAATTTATTACCACTGATATGAATTTGACATAAAAAGGATAGGGTCCACCTATATCCAACCATTCTCAAGTCACCTCTCCTAAAGTAGATGACAAATACAGTCTTTTCAAATGACTGTTTTTAATAGGAGGCACATACACAGTGGATTCAGACATGGGCATTAATCACCAGCCTGCATCATTAGTGTAGCCTTTAGCAATTAACGACCTAAGTGTCAGTTTCATCATTTGTGTAATGGGGATTATAAGAGGTCATATTTCACAATGAGCTAAATGAAATTAGCAATGTCGGTTCATTCTAATCTTTCAATAAATTATGTATATTATTTTGCCAAAGGGAATACCCTAATCTGGATTAATAATATAATAGAGGTACAGATATAGTTAGATACAGGGCACCTTCCAAATTCAGAACACATACACGGAGAGGTGCTGAGGAAACTGTAAATCAGTGAATTCAGTAACAACTTTCAAAATGCTGACTCTGGAAGTGTGGATGACTGAGATTCCTAAAGATGATTATCTCCTAGGTACAGCTCTAGCATTCCTCTCAGTATCTTATTAGTGTTCTGAGAGAGCAAAGGTAGGGGAAAGGCTTCCTGGACACCTGTATTCTTACCCTTTCTTTTCCAAGCTGGCCTTCATATTGTGAAAATTAGGGAAGAATTGTCCATAAAGCAAAGCTGTGCCATCAGTCCGCGGCTACCAGACAGGGAATACATGTGTCTCTAAACAAACTTGTGGGTCCCCCACTGTTGTCATTGCTAAGTATTTCACATCAGACTTCTCACCCCAATTATTATGAAAATTCTCTGAAGATTAAAAAAATTATACTATTTTGAATCCCCTGCAGTTACTGATAGGTGCTTGATATAGGGAACAACTTTACACACCTGGTGATCACAAGATCTGCTTTTTAAAGTTTTAAGGTATTTTATGCATCCCACAAAGCTACTTAGGTTGTATTTCCTGAATGCCCCCAAACCTAATTTATTGATGGAAAGAATATTAATATTATATATCCTATAAAGCTAACTCTAATCAATCACTTTACTTCTAATCACTTTGCTCAAGCCTTAATTTACTCCATACCTATCTAATGAGGTACCATCTCCAAAGTATGGATAAATTTTAAAAGATATACTTTAAAGATATAAAGAACTGTTCAGGGAATAATTGGTACATAAAAAATTTAAGCACAAAACTATCCTCTTGGGTCTATATATGTGGACATGCTACCCAAAAGGTGAAATGGCCGAAACCGGTTTGGCTCAGTGGACAGAGCATCGGCTTGTGGACTGAAAGGTCCCAAGTTTGATTCCGGTCAAGAGCATGTACCTTGGCTGTGGGCACATCCCTAATAGGGGGTATGCAGGAGGCAGCTGATTGATGTTTCTCTCTTATCGATGTTTCTAACTTTCTGTCCCTCTCCCTTCCTCTCTGTAAAAAAATCAACAAAATATTTTTTTTAAAAAAGAGGAAATGTTCCAAATCTCAAATCAGGACCATTTTTCTGTTTTCACTTTCTAGTATTTAAAACAAAAATACAATGATAATGATGGTAGTAACTTATTATGCACTAACTTTGTATGAGGCAATGTTTTAAGCACTAATGTGGATCATCTTATTTAATCTTCACGAAAACCTTATGATGGATACTATAATGTCCATCATACAGGGATGCAAATTGAGGCAGTAAGAAGTTAAGATCACACAGCTAGTACTGTACTTCTTTTAGTAAGAGAAGTCCCTTTTAATTTTCAATATAAATTTTAAAAAGGGAAAAAAATCCAAAATTCTGCCCTATTGTTTTCAGTACAATTCAATCAAATATTTATTGGACACAGCAACCAGACAACTGAGGACATGGACCAGGACCTTGTCAACGATTCACATAATTTTGTGGAAAAAACACATAAATAAATAACATAGCATACTGCTTATTAACATAGGTGTATTGTGTCACATGATGCAATCACAGAAATAGGCTCAAGCTACATGGACACAGGCTGAGCAAAAGGAGAAAAAGGCATAGTTGGAACCACAGGTAAGGGGTTAAATCCTAAAATGTCTCTAAAAAACACTAAAAAGCTTGAATTTTTTGGCCAATAAGGCAATGGAATTTTAAATACAGAAGTGGTGTAGATTAGACTTGATTATAGAAGAATCACACATCAACACTATGAAACACAGTTTAGAAGTAGAGTGAAGCTGTAACCAAGAAAACTAACAAAATCTTAAAAAATAAAAAGGTCAATAGCATCAAGTTCCCAGTAGTAAATACCTAGCACCATATCTTACTTTACAAAGGGAATGAAATCAACAAAGCAACTTCTAAGTTTTAAATCCTGTTACAAAACTTAATTGGTGATGGTAACCAAAGACATTATGGGTTACTTTTTATTTTAAAAATATTACATCAGTAAGAATAATTTCTGAGGGAAATGTGACTTCATTTAGATAGGATTCTGAAACTACTACTATTTGCCTTAAAATCTATAGCAGTTTATAAAGAGTGAGAAACTACTACTATTTGCCTTAAAATCTATAGCAGTTTATAAAGAGTGAGCAGTTTATAAAGAGTGAGAATGGCTCTACTGCTTCAATTACTGGAGTAAAAGCCCTGCTGGCTGAGCTGCTCACGCACATTCGCTTCTCCACACTGCCTAATTTTCCCCCCATTTTGGGGAAGATAGTTCCCTCCCCTCAAAAAAATATTTAATTAAAGGATTTCCTGTTATTTCTAATTAATTGTTTTTAGTTTTAGTTCTAATTTCTAGTATAGAAAAATCAAACTCTTTGAGAATATTTAATAGTTTCTTAAGGTGTCTAGACACCAGAAAGGTTGAGAACCTCGGTATCTAGCAAAATAATTTCCTAAATGAATGACTTTAGCTATCTAAAACTTAAAGGCTAAGAAATAAGTTTCTTCTTGCCACGCGATATGAGAAAAGGTTCTACAAAGTTGATAGTGATGAAAATACCCAATCTTGAAAAATCAGTTATAATTCTCAAATAAATTCAATCTCAATTGAATAAAACATTTATTGAATACCTAGGTTCTATATACATAAGATATATTTAAAAGGGGAGAAGTTAAGGAAAGACCTAGCCCAGTGGTCAGCAAACTGGCTCTGTTTACTAATGAGTTTGCCGACCACTGCCTTAGGGAAAAACACTTAAAAAACATTTTAATAATGTACTAATGTCTTTAACCTGAAGTCAAAACTTTTGGGTAAGGGTAATGCCTTATGCAGTTGTCGGCAAACTCATTAGTCAACAGAGTGGCAAACCGTGGCTCGTGAGCTGCACATGGCTCGCGAGCCACAGTTTGCCAACCAATGACCTAGCCTGACCTCAAAGAACTCATAAACTTATAAGGCAAATGTGGACAGCTATTTTCCTAAAAGTGTATGAATGTCTGATTTGACTTTTTAAACAAAAAATAGATGCCCATCTGGCTCGGTGATTGAGAGTTAACCTATGAATTAGGAAGTCATGGTTTGGTTCCTAGTTAAGGCACCTGCTCAGGTTGCAGCTCAATCCCCAATGGGGGGCATGAAGGAGGCAGCCAATCAGTGATTCTCTCTCATCATTGATGTTTCTATTTTTCTCTCCCTTCCTCTTTGAAATCAGTACAAATAATTTCTTTTAAAAAGGATGTGTATGCCGAAACCGGTTTGGCTCAGTGGATAGAGCGTCGTCCTGGGGACTGAAAGGTCCCAGGTTCGATTCCGGTCAAGGACATGTATCTTGGTTGCAGGCACCTTCCCAGTAAGGAGGTGTGCAGGAGGCAACTAATCAATGTCTCTCTCTCATTGATGTTTCTAACTCTCTATCCCTCTCCCTTCCTCTCTGGAAAAAATTAATATAATATGCCGGGACCGGTTTGGCTCAATGGATAGAGTCGGCTTGGGACTGAAGGGTCCCGGGTTTGATTCCGGTCAAGGGCATGTACCTTGGTTGCGGGCATATCCCCAGTAGGGGGTGTGCAGGAAGCAGCTGATCGGTGACTCTCTCTCATTGATGTTTCTAACTCTCTATCCCTCTTCTCTTCCTCTCTATACAAAATCAATAAAATATATATATTTTTAAAATTAATAAAATATATTTTTAAAAAGGATGTTTAAAAATAAAAACCGTTTTAATCACATAACCTACCAAATACCTTTTAAACTTTTTTTTTAAGAGCTGATGATCACTATTAAAATAGCAGTTTGCTATCCAGTAGATGAAGTACTTAGTGACTACACCTCTCTTCACAACTCAGATACCAAATGTACAAGAGTGCATACCTTTAACTGGAAATGTATATAGGTGTCTCCTTAACCCATCCTAGATCAAGCAGATATGTAGGTGCATGATTTTTGCTGTCTTTATGCTACATTCAGTGCTACTAAGTGTTGCTAATGGTGCACTCTCAGTCTGAGTCAGGAAGGGATGTCAGGAGCCTTGCCCTTGACCACTACGTACATCACACCCAAACAGCACGACATGAATATCTCCTTTGTTTTTTGAACTTTCAAAACATTCAGGAGAAAATGTTTATAACTTACCACCTCTGAGCCCAACCTGATACCACTGTTATAACCTGGTTATTAATAACTGGAAAGAAGCAAAGAGAAGGCTAGGTAATGTAGGCATGCCATTTGTACAGCTTTGCCAGGAAGCTGCAGTTTAACACTCTCCAGGTCTGAGTGACATGGGAAGGTACTTGTCTGTCAATCACACCAGGGAAAAGCCATAGGTCAGAATAAGTATGGCCACTGCAAGTGTGGGAAGAGTTGGTATTCATTAAACTTCTAAACAAAGGAATTCCTGTCTTTGTTTGGCTCTGTTGGCCCTCCTGGCTCTCTTGGGACTTGTTGCAGGGGGCATGCTCCCCTGCAATCTCCCGCATGCACTAATAGATTACAATCAGCCTGATGCACTGCTGCACTCAACTCCACCATTGAACAGACACTATGGACACTGATTTTGCTTCTAGCTCTGCTGAACCTCCAGCTGCTTATTTTCCAAGACTGGTTTAAGGGAAATGGGACTTTGCAAACCAAGGGATACAATAACACACAAACCTTTCAATATATCTCATTCTCCCATGCGTCTTAGAAAATTATTTTTCTTAAGATATGAGAACCCCACTCCCACTAGCAATGGAGAAATTCCACACTACATCAAACCTAACGCAGGATAAAAAAAAAATACAATGGCTAGGTTAATATTTCATAGATTTACAGAGCTGGTAGGACTTTTTGAGTATGAAAAAGCTTTTAAAGGAATATCATCTCCACAGCTAATTATAATCCTGACTTAAGGCAGGAGAAAACTCCCAACTTCAATGATATACAAATTTGTGCCTAACTTACTAAATTGTTTAAGTTGTATTCATCTTACTAGCTATCATAAATGTCAATCTAAAGAAGACCTTAAAATGTATTAAGTAGATGACCCAAATCCTTTACCAGTCTTCATCAAAATGAAAACCAGATATTAGACTTTCAATTTGCTACAACTCTGAGCAGTGCTTATTAAAATAAAAATACCTCAGATTTACAGTTTTATCAGCATCCTCACATTTTTCCTAACTTTGCCAGTTTTATAGCCGAGAAAACACTAAGAAAAGTAAGTTGACAAAGTGCACATAATGCTGACAGGTTGCACAGTGGGAATTGAACCTGTACTTTTTACTTGAACTCCAGTACTATTTCCAGTACAGCAGAACTGCCCAAACACATAGACACTTTCACTCTCAAATAGGAAGTCAGGGAGGAGCTCATGTGCAACAAGAATTTCTAGTTCTGTTCAGTGTGTTACAAAACTACAATTAAGTTTCTTTGATGAATTTATATTTTGCAGGGGAAAACAAATGTACCTTCAGCATTTTTTTATTTGCTGTGTTCTTGCCACATTCTCTCCTCAGCTGTTCACTCATTGCTTGTAGCTCTCTTCCAAAGTGAATCATTCTTTCTATAGCGGCTTGACTTCCTCCACACAACTGGCGTCTTAACTGACTTGAATCAACTTCTGTAACCAAAACAAACATTTTACTACCTTACTGAATGAAGTGCAATGGAGAAATAAACACAAATTGTTTATAACATTTTATATGTTTAATTTAGTAACTATTACCTAATGTTTTTCTCTAAATATGCAGATTAATTTAATATGAAACTTTGCAGCTAAAAGGTACGTTTTATCTAGGTCTCAAGAGTCTAGGATCCAATATCTAGCATGCAGTTGAAAGTCAGGTGACAACCTTTCTCAGTGTTAGGATGTACCTATATGTCAAGGAAAATTTTATAAAAAGTTAAGCACAAGTCTCTAAAACTACAATAAGTGACATTAAGAAAAAAAGAAAAAGTAACTGCCTGACAGGCTACTTTAACTGCCATAGAATAGAGACAGAATTAAATGATTCCTGGATGCTAAGAGAGGCGAAAAAATTCCAATAAAAACATAAAAAATACCATATTTTACCAATAAAAAAGGATTAGTTATGCTAAGAACACTACTTTTATAAAATATTTTATGGTATATATTTTGGATGACAATAATAAATAATTAATAATGTAACCATTTAAATTACTAATAATACATGTAATCACAAATGATTATAACATATAATAAGCACTTTGTTCTATTAGCTTTCCACAGATTAGCTCATTTAATTGTCTCAATGATCTATAAGGCAGTTATTATAATACCCATTTTACAGATGAAGAAACCAAGGCACAGAACTCTTAATTTGTCCAAGGTTACACAGCTAGTAAATAGCAGTTGCAGAATCTGAATCCAGGTAATTTGGCTGTATAACTCCTGCTCTTAATCTCTATGCTCAAACTACTCCGAATTTTAAGGTTGCTGATTATCTGATAAAATAAAACAAGACTGCCTTTTTAATCATACTCATTGCTTGAAAAAAGGAGTTATACAGAATACATAATTCTCAAAAAGGTAGTTGTATAAGTAATAAAATAATAATTACATTTATAAAGTAGTTTCTTATATATACCCATAGCAATTTGAAAAAATACCTTTTAACCTCAAAATACTGTTAAGTCTAATGCTGGCCATGGAATTCTGACAAAGAAGGATTTATAAGCTTTAATAATGTTCACTTTCCAATTGATGGGAAAGTTTGCTGATGATTTAACTTTACAATACAATTTACTACACAAGTTGTCAAGAAAGTAAATTAAGCATGACATTTAACTTAGGGGGAAGAGGAGGTGGAGTCACACTTAAGTACCTACTAAGTGCCAGACAGTGAACTATAAATAGTCACATATATTCACATTAAATAAATTTAAGAAATTCGGTTTGATTAGAATTTATAAAAGCATCTCTACCCATTTGGCCTTTACTGGCTATAGTAAAATAAGTATAAAATCTTTCTATATTTACAACCTTAAATATCCTCTAAAGCAGCGGTCGCCAACCTTTCAGACATGGACTGCCAGTGATCCATGTACCACTGATTGGCGACCACTGCTCTAAAGGATATTTAACACTAAGTTGGTACCACTGCACTAATGACTGCGCTAAAAGTTGAGCCCAAACAGTTCAGCGAAGAAAACTCTGTAGCATTTAACTTCAGAAAGTACTATAAAGTAACTCTGCTGTCTAGCAACCCACTCTCACAAGGAAGTTTAAGAGAAGTAATGTGTATTGTCAAATCCAATGGCACATACATCTATCTTTAAAATTTGATTTATGCTCATCAAGCTGCAAATCAGTACGAGTAAAAACATAACCTTGTAGTCATCATTTTTTATTAAAAATGTAAGAAATATCACTGCAGACCCATTTCGGTGTCACAATCTTCCATTTCGTGGTCATGTTTAGAGCTACCATTTAGGAAACCATTGGATGAAGTTTCTCCAACTCCATTGGAGTAGTGATCTGTTTCCATGTCTACATCATTACTGAAAACGAAAAAACAAACCTAATTTTAGAAATCGCACACTTCTTGCAGCTTAGTTTAAAATAAATTACTATTCAACTTCAAAGTAGGTAGTTAGTTAAGTCTTGAATATATTCAAAGCCAAATATATAGCTGACTTTTAACAAAGTTGTACTTCTAGATATAAGGGAAATAAATACACTAAAAGTATTGCCAAATCTTAATTTTAAAAAAGTTGATTTGTATATTTAGGGTGCTTTCAATTTTCACTCATGAATGAATAACTATGTGCCAATAACTACATTTGGACATACTATAGTAGTCAATGTAGGACCTTCAGATTCATCCGCACAGTAAGCAACAATACATACCTAATTTTTAAGAATCACCCATGAAGATCTAGGTAGCGATTACATAGCCCAAAAGGCAACATTTGATGAAAATTTAGGAAATATTTAAATAAAAATGACCCTTTCTATTAAAAAAAAAAAAGGGGGGGGGGAATATTCATTTCTTAGAAAAACCAACAACAATGAATGCAGATGAACAAAAGGCACTCTACGCGTAATGCCACCAGAGATGGTTAACACCTGGCATGACTTGTTTGTGTGGTTTAAGTACCATGCGTGTGGGTATATGCACATTTCTATCAGTATAATCTATTTGGTGAAAAGACAGATCTAGAAAGAAGGTGGCAACTGCCTTAGGACTCCTTCATTTGTCAGAAAAGCAGTGTGTTAGATTGGTGACCTTTAAGAATTGTTAAAAAAAAAATTAACATTAAAAATAATGTTTAGTAGAAATCCTTAAGGACGTATAGCTTTTGGTGATCTTAAAAATATACTAAACAATTTTTTTACGAAAACAATTCAATATACTATTTGAGAGGGATTCTTTCATTCAATACACATTCAAGAACCCTTGAGCCATGTTCTCCATGTTCCATGTTAGGTGCTAAGGATATAATGAAACTGCCTCTGCCCTGTAGGAGCAAACTACCTGTTAAAAACTAAGAAAGTTGTTCTTTGCAGAGGACTATTACTATGATAAAAATTAATTGCAAGGAGTGACAAAACATGTGGTGGGGATATAAATCAAGGCAAAAGTCCTGGAAGAAGTAATGTGAACTTGAGTTTTAACTAGAACAGACATTAGCATGGAGAGGAGACTTTCAAATAGAGGGAAGTATAATGGAAAAAGCGCAAGTCTGGATGGAAGTCACAAATCCTGGGAAGTAGTCTGAGTTCTGCAACTTACTAGCTACTAATTATTGACCTTTAAAAAAACCCCCACAAATATTCATTTTTTTGGTATTCAGCTCTACATCTGTAAAATGGTTTTCATAGTTAATACCATTTTTGCCTACTACACAATACTGTTGCAAGGAAAATCATTATCAACTATAAAGTAATTGTTACTGTTGAACAGTTTAAGGGAATTTAAAAAGCTTACTTTCTTACACTGAACACAAGGGAGAATGCTGTGTCATCAACACCTTATGTTACGTTTCCTTCCCTGAACTCAGGAAGCAATAGGTCCCTTTAGCAACTTCCTGCCATGAGGATAGTATTTAAGAGAAAAACTCACCAACTGATTGCAATCCTGATTGCAAAAAATAGTAAAACTCTCTATCAATTATAAGTACTAAAATCTTACCTTTTAAAATTCCCATTCATAATTTTTACTCTAAATATTCTAATTTTATGTTTTTAGTATATCATCTCTACTATCAAAGACTACCCTGACCTCCTTATTTTTTCTACTGTCCTCATATGACTTCTGTGGACCTCCATTAAAACCTGTACCACACACCATTACTTCAGTAAATTTTGGTCACTTGTGAAGAATAACCTGGAGATTCTGATAAATTGCTAACTTTGCAAATACAGATTTTTACATACATTCCTTTTTCTGGAGTCATATTTCCATTAAGATTCCTTGCTAAAAGTTAGGTTCTCTCTCCTTTGATAAAATCTGCACTAATGAACAATTCCCCCAAAATGCAGTGTCACCAAAAAATTCATGTTATAAGACCAAACCAGCATAAAATTGTAAAATCTATCCATTATTTTTTTGCTATTCTTTAAATTGATTTTAGAACAAGAGGAAGGGAAAGGGAGTGGAGGGAGAGAAACATTGATCAGTTGCCTCCTGTACACACTCCAACTGGGGATTGAACTCACAACCTGGACATGTGTCCAGACCAGGAATCAAACCAGCAACCTTTCAGTGCACAGGATAATGCTCAATAAACTGAGACACACCGGCCAAGGTCATTATAATTATTTTTAAAATGTTATAACATGAGTTCTACACCAAATTAAGATTCAAATGCTATATGGTTTGGGCAGGCTGAATTCATAAGATTTTGTTTTCACACATTAGTATTGAATTCAGGTGATTACATTTCAGAAACTTTTAAAAGATTTCATGAACATTAAACCCGAGTATGTCATAACACAGTGATACTAGAGGTCCGGTGCACGGCATTCATGCACTGGAGAAAGAAGAGAGATGGACAACACACACCTCAGCCTGGCCTATGCCTTTTCACAGTCCAGGAGCCCTCAGGAGATGTCCGACTGCAGCTTAGGCCTGCTCCCCGCTAGGAGCGCACTAACCACGGGGGTGGGGGTGAGGGATGGGGTGGGGGAAGCTCCTGCACTGAGCCTCTGCCCCCTTGTTGTCAGTGCACATTATAGTGACCAGTCGTTCTGCCATTCAGCTGATTTGCATATTACCCTTTTATTATATAGGATAGTCCTCTTTTATCTCAAAGTTCTTCCTACCTAACAAAATGGCTAACACCCAATAGGTCCTCAATACTACCCTCATGCTCTATGTTCTAAATCAGCGGTCGCCAATCTTTCGGACCTCACGGACGACTAGTGGTTCACGGACCACCAGTTGGCAACTGCTGCGCCAAAGGTTTCCTTAACCAGCAGTTGCCAACGTTTCGGACCTTGCAGACCACCAGTGGTATGCAGACCACTGGTTGGAGACCACTGTTCTAAATGACAACCACATCTGCTATAATCAAGCTACGTAAAGATAGGCTCTCAAATAAGAGTTTGGGCTTTTTTTTTTTTTTTAAGTAAAATTAGTTAACTGAAAGTCAGTAAACATTCCACATTAATTTACAGCAAAAAAAACAAACAAAAAAACAACAACACACACACAGAGAAAAAATAGTTGTAAACATATATGTTAAAACTAGAGGTTAAATGCAATACTTTGACTTAAGTTGGAAACAAAACAAATAGCATGTGTGTGATCATCTGTATAGGTCTGTGATGGCAGGAAGAGTAGACTGCAGAGCCCTGCATTTGTCCTTATAACCTCACTAAAAGGGCAAAGGAATGGAGAGTAATACGAAAGAACAAAGAAAGAGCCTATGCATATACTGAGAGACGGGAAAGCTTTGGGAAACTTATTCCCTAACCTTTATTCTCTGGGGGCTTGGGAACTACTAGACCTCCATTATTAGCCATATAACTCAAATTTTCCAAATTATTAAACATGATAACCTGAATTAGGCTGCTTATAGTAATGTAAAAGCTAGAGAAATCACTTACCTGGTGAAGTTATTAACTTGCTGTGATCTTGACATGTTTATACTGTTCAGTTCTGGTACATTCAAATTAGTTGACTGGTGTTTACTATGGCAATATGATTGATGTACTTTATTTGATATTACACCATTACTACAATTTTCAAAACCTGGAAAAAAAAAAGATAGGTCTTGAAAATAGAAACAAACATTTATTTATTATTAGGTTATAAATAATATACCCGTATTCTGACTTTTGTATTTAAAATATAGGACTATTTAAATCAATGGATTATTTAAATAGTAAACAAACAGTTAACTTCTTTGAAAAGAAATATGTACACTTAATTGTGAGCTATATTTACCATCTCTTCTAACATTTATTGAAGGCTTCATTATGGATCAATCCCCCATCAGAGCAGTGTTATCATCACCCCCATTTTATTGAGGCTAAGAATTTGTCCACATCTGAAGTGACTGTATATGATATTCAAGAGGAGAAGCAGCTAAGGATACAAACATGAAAAGCATCTGCACTGTACAGGATGGTGATATAAAGAGAGCTATATGCTGACTGAGAAAAAGCTAAGTTGTTACTCTATGAAAGGAAAGAAAACAGCACTTGACTTCTGTTTTATAAAGTTAAATGAACTGAGGAAGATAACACCATGGGGAAAACAGAATGAAAGAGATAAGCAAAGAAGGAAGACTAAGGAGGATTAGAAATAAATTTGTAGAAATTATCATAAAAGCTAAGAAAGGAGAGAATTCTAATCCAGAGAACACCAAAAGCCCTGGAGAATAAGGCTGCTGAGCAAAAAAACAAAACCACGACCGACGAGGCGGGGGGGGGGGGGGGGGGGGGGGGGGAGTGGGAGGAGTGAGGAGGGGTGGTGACGGTGACGGTGATGGTGGTGGTGGTGGTGGTGGTGGTGAACAGGAGAAAATGAACTAGGCTTGGTTGAGAAAGAATAAGATAGATTGCAGACAGCCCAACTAGATTTGGTGATTGGTGGCATAAGACATCACAGACACATCACTACCTTTAAATTTAAACTTCATGAAAACATATAATTATGTTTTCATTACCAAATATCTATGATTTAATTTCTAGAGACAACTTAAACATTAGCATCTGTTTACAAAGATATGCTATAATAACTTATTCTCAGAAGTAGCTCAAGTTACTTCCTGGTACTAAAAACACATGCATCTGATCCACCTATAGTTCTTCTTCCAGAGTATCTTGAGATACACATGTGCAAAACTGCTACAGAAGTGTCTAGATTTTTAAAAATTTTATTGTAGTTCAAAAATATAAAGATAATGTCATAAGATTGAATCTCACCAGAAAAATGTGCAGCACTTCCTTTGCCTGATGCTAAATTGTGGATATTCATTCCATGGCTGGGGCTCATACTTGGACTACTAAAAGGTCGAGGGCTAACAGGATAACTGTCTTGAGATTTTGGACTCCGGCCTCCCAAACACCGTACTTCACTATCTGTACCATTCACCATTTCTATAAACTGACGCACTCTAAAGAAAGAAAAAAAATTTACTTAATCTTCAAATAGCCATTTACTTAATAGCAACAGATTTCTGAAAGGAGATAATTTAATAAGTTGTATTTATCAATAACTTTGGCCTTAAGATAGTATGCTAAAGCACTAAATGTGATTTTATATACTATACTGGTTAGAATATTTTTAAATTTTCCAGAAAAATAGACTATATGCAAAAGCTGTATGTCCTTGAATCAAAATTTACCAAGAAAATGAAAGCTTATCTATAGATATAATAAAATCAACATGGACAACCTTTTTAGTCCCCAAATAATTTAATCAAAATAGTATTCGCACTTGGTAGCAAATCAAACTGTACATAAGAACACGACAGAATTTCAACAGATATTTCATCACCCCTATTCAAAGCATTATTCACAATATCCAACTGTGGGAGCAACACAAATGAATAAAGATGGATGAGTGAATACACAAAATGTGGCATATGCATACAATGGAATATCATTCAGTCTGCAAAAGGAAGGAAATTCTGACAGATGCTACAACACAGATTAACTTTGAGGACATTGTGCTAAGGGAAATAAGCTAGTTAACAAAGAACAAGTATTTCATGATTCCATTTATATGAGCACAGGGTAGTCAAATTCAAATTTGGAAAACAGAATGTTAGTTGTCAGGAGGAGAAATGGAGAGTTAATGTTTAATGGGTACCAAGTTTTAGTTAGAAAGTTTCTGGAGATGGACAGCTGGCATTGATTACAAAACAATGTGAATGTACTTAATACTACTGAACTGTACACATAAAAATGGCAAATTTTTGTTATGCATATTTATCACAATTTTTAAAAATGCCACAAACTTACTATGAGGTACTTTGCAGATAAGATTCCCATCTTCTAAGTAAGATTTTCACATTTGGAAACAGAGACAGAAGGACAGAAGACCAAACAAAAGATGCCATCTGTTTATACTCCTCAACACAAGCATTTTTGTAACCTGTTACTTAAATGAGCTGTATTACAAAATCTTATGTCAATATTTGAAAGAGGGTTAAACAAAAATTAAAACATGGACATTATTTTGGTTACATATAACACACATATATAATAAATATAGCATATTTTATTAAACAAACTCACTTCAATGTGAAAAGAAGATTAGGATTTCTTTCAAGTAAACTTGGGTATAACTGTTGTGTTGTTTCAATAGCTTCTCCCATTCTTCCTGCTAACACCAATTTCTGAATTCCTATTTAGAAAAAAAGAGCAAAAGATTAATTTTTTTAAGAGTAGAAACACTATCGTATAAGTAATATAGGAAAAATACTTATTAATCAATACTGAAGTAATAAAAACTAAAGAAGATGGCCCTGGTCAGTGTGGCTCAGACGGTTGGGTGTTGTCCCAGGCACAAAAAGGTTGCTGGTTTGATTCCCAGTAAGGGCACACACCAGGGTTTTGGCTCAATCTCTGGTAGAAGGCATGAAGGAGGCAGTCCATTGATGTTTTGCTTTCACATCGATATTTCTCTCTTTCTCTCTCCCTTCTCCCCTATCCCTCACTCTCTAAAAAAATCAATTAAAAAATCCTTTAAAAAGATGGCTATTGCCGAAACTGGTTTGGCTCAGCGGTAGAGCGTCGGTCTGCGGACTAAAAGGTCCCGGGTTCGATTCCGGTCAAGGGCATGTACATTGGTTGCGGGCACATCCCCGATAGGGGGTGTGCAGGAGGCAACTGGTCGATGTTTCTCTCTCATCGACGTTTCTAGCTCTCTCTCTCTCTCCCTTCCTCTCTGTAAAAAATCAATAAAATATATTTAAATAAATAAATAAATAAATAAATAGATAAATAAATAAAGATGGCTATTTTTATGGCATACATAGTGTATTGGTGGGTTCATGCACGTATACTAATCTCCAAACTTATCAAATTACATTCACTAAATATGTACAGCTTTTAATGTCAACATTCCTCAATAATAGTGTTTTTTAAAAAGACCATAGGAAAGTCAAAGAAATAATACTTAAAATGTCTTATCAAATATAATCATTTCATTTTATATCTTTACTATTGAAAGTAATTATGATAATCTTTGAACTGGTACTAAAAGAATGCTAGACTTAGTAAGATCTGAATTCAACAGATACTCATTGAGCATTCCTTGTTTCAGGTATTTGTTATATTAGATGAGGATACAAAAAATATGTGATCATTTCCTGTTCACAAGAACTTATTATATAGTGAGACAAAGCATACAGTAGCTATAATACAATGTAGTCAATGACATTATAGCAGTTTGACCTATAAAAAATTCTTCTTTTCATCCATTATGGTTTTGCCTTGTTTTTATGCCTATATTCTCATCAAGTTATACCCTTCCTGATGGATACACCAATTTTATGATGACTAACTATGGTACGGTTATCATGCTGACTTACCTTTGTAAGAACAGGCCACACTGCTCTGGCTAAAAGCACTAGAACCTAAGCAATAAAAGCTTAAGATCAAAACTATCAGTCCTATGTGAATTTTTAAAAAGTAATCTTAAAAAACATCAATAAAAATAAATTCCAGAGGCATCAATTTTAAAATTTATTTTAACAAATTTATAAAAATCGTTATCACCAAAGCTATAATCTGAAAACAAGTTTTAGCCATGCACCATAAGTCCTTACTTTGTCTATTCTTAATGGAAGCTAATTCTTCTAGAACGGTCTGGTCTGTAGATCTGGCAAAGGCCTCTGCTGTGGCACAGTACCCATGGTGAACTAAATAAGATGAAACCATTCTTAAAAAAAAAAAAAAAAGAACATAACTTTTAGTCAAGAGAATACATGCTTCATACTACAATTTACATAAATAAGGTCTACTCTGGTGTTACAAAACTAACCTATTCCCTTGAAATAATTAAGGCTTTAATAACCTCAAGTTTGAAGTTCAAAAAATCATTTTGTTCTTTCACGTAGTATTTCCAAAAAGATAACTGCAAGTGCTATGATGAGACTACTGTCCCTAAAAATAAGTATTTATTAGAGAATCAAGGACACCCCATTTTCTCCAGGTCATTTACAATTATTTCCCATCCTTATATTCAATCCTACTCACCATAATTCCTGTTTCATGTTTATTACAACTTATCCCAGTAAAGTGTTGTCATTTTGTAAAATAAAACAAATGTAAAATAACAGATTAACTCCTTGTATTCTGGACTATACCCCCTTTCTTTATCTATTACAGTAGATATATCACAAGTTGTGAACACAAAAAGTACTAAAGTGAACTTGGATAAAACTAATCAGCCTTCTAATCTAAATCAATTGATATGGCTGTGCACCTTGATATTAATTATTCAAATGACATTTATATGTAAGCGACACTCTTCCAAAGAACAGATTTATTTTTAATAAGCCACCAAGTGGCCAAAGCATGTATTTACATTTAACTGCTGGCTAAACAGTATTAACCTAGATAGTCAATAAAGCCAAATATTCAACTTTAAACCTGCCTTCATCTGGTCTACTAAAGATCTGCTAGAAAATGGTAGGAAGAAGCAGTAGTTCAGAGAAGCGGGACTGACCAGAGGGCATTTAAAAAAACAGAATTTTTCATTTTATTTCAGCTAATGCAAATTATTTTAAGAGGCAGAACCTATGAAAATAAACTTTCCAGGAGGTCATGGTGAGTGTCTATTTTGTGAAGAATGGGGTTGGTTGGGGTGGGGTCCCTCATAGAACTCTGGCTGTAGGATAAAATGATGTTTTCTCTGCTACTATCCTGCCATAATGTTCAGTGGTGACCATTTTTAAAGCATTCAAGGGCAGTGACCCCAGGAAAGCAACTTATCCTAGCTCTAATTCATGGCAACTATGAGATTCTGGGTCAAGATTCACTATTCTTTCAACTGCAGAACAAAAGTACTAGTGCAGATTCTGCAATACCTGATGATAATTGCTCTAGTGAAGAAGCATGTTTTCAGAATCATCAACATATCTTCCAATCATTATCTCCTCCAAAAGGTACACACAAAAACCTTTATTAGATTTTTCAATTTCAGCCTGTTCAAAGCAATTCAAAAGACGTTTAAGATGAACTGTGTCAGATTGATGGTATCTGAAAGAATTCGTCTTTTTCTTTGGTTATAGTAGTGAAAATGACTATTTAAACTTACTGGTGCTTATTTCATTTTTAAGTTTATACTATTTCAAGCTTTATGAGCTACCATTTAGTACTACTGATATCTGGCGTCATCTTGAACCTTTCAGCAAAGGTACAGTCTAAAAAGGTCATAGGAATTATATTTTCCTGATTTCCATAATGAAATTCTACTTTTTCATAAAAAATAACCTAATAAAACAAATAGCAATTTTTTGGTAAAAAATGAGTTGCGAGAAAGGTTATTCATTTTAAAGTACTTTTATTGACACCCAGAATGTACACTGCTATTGCCCACCCTCTCCTGTTGCTATTACTGGATCATAAGTATTTGTCCTGAACTTAGGATCCTAACTCCATCTTCACTGTTCCTTGGCTTCCTTTTAAATGTCTAATAATACCACATACAAGCAAATGGTATTAAAATAATAAGATTTTTAAAATTCTTAAGCCAGAGGTTTTTGGTCAGATTTTTCTATTTAAAATAGGAGCAACTAGAGCCTCCCTAAATCTACATGATAAAAAATATTTAGCAAAACAGGGATAATAGTAAACAAAAATAGCTGACATTATTCTTACAGAATAACCCATTCACTAGAAAAATGTAGCCAAATCCTGAAAAGTGAATTATACATATTAAGTCTGTATTCCAGTATATAAACTTTATCATTATTTTGATGCTTATTCTTATTGGATAGTAATTCTTTTCCCCTATAAATATTTAAAATACTGAACATAGTCAAATTCATATAAAAATGATCCTGTATTATGCAATCCAAATTATCTTTCTGAATTTATATTTTGCACTGGAAGTATTATTAGTTGATCATATAACCTATGGAAAAAATTAAATCCTATTACTAATAATAGAAAATGAATGACCCAACCTAAGTGATTTAGTGTCATTTTATTTGTTCCATCAAATTAATAAGTCAGACTAACATACTATTCTGTATGTTCAAATCAAACCTTATTTTTAATTGCTCAAAGAGAATAAGTTATTTTTATAGATATTAAAATATTACTTTGTACCGAAAGAATAACATTCTATATAATAAAAACCTAATATACTAAGAGAATAAGTTATTTTTATAGATATTAAAATATTACTTTGTACCAAAAGAATAACATTCTATATAATAAAAACCTAATATACTAAGTGTCCAACCATTCAACCAATCACTATGATACGCACTGACCACCAGGAGGCAGACGCTCCAACCAGTATGTTAACTTGCTGCTGGAGTTCAGGTGATCAGGTCTGGGCAAGATGGGCCAGACATGCCCTGTAGCCTTCCTGCGGTCCCTCCCCAGTCCTGATGTGCACTGGTGGGATTCCTCAGCCTGACCTTCCGCCCTCTCTCAATCTTGGATCCCTTGGGGGATGTCAGAGAGCTGGTTTCAGCCCGATCCCCATAGGCCAGACCAAGGGACCCCACCAGTGCATTAATCTGTGCACTCGGCAATAGTATTTTATAAAAAAGTACTTTTGAATAATATCCATTCAAATTTCTTCACTTACTTTTGTATCATGGTCTGCCATTCTCCTTCTCGATCTCCAATAGGAAACCGGTCTATCTGTGCCTGTATTTTGGTTCTCCACTCCCGCATGTAGTCTTCTATATCAAACACAAAAGGATGTTGCCCAAAATTGGCATCAACGACCTCTCCTGGTGTCTGGAGCCCAACAGTTGGATATAAATTTGGCTGTAAAACAACACATTTTGCTAAGCATCTCTCGCTTTTATGTTCAAGACATTCATTCTTTCAAATGCTGTCTCTTTACAATAACAGAACTACAAATTTTCTTAATCCAAGCCTAGTAGAGGAAGACTAAAGCAAATATTCTAAAATACAATCTATACCAGATGGAAAGATCTCATTTCTTATCATCTAATTAGGGAGGAAGAAAAAAAAAAAAAAAGGGAGGGAGGGAGGAGAACCTCAGTAACCTATTTTATTTATTCAGAGACCACATGAAAACAAACTTTAATAAATGACAAGTTGCTCTTAAGAATATGTCATATAGTTGCTGGCCAGTGTGGCTCAGTTCGTTGGAATGGTGTCCCATACACTGAAAGGTCTTGGTTTCAATTCCGGACCCAGGTCCAGGCCCATGCAAAGGCAACTGATTATTACTCTCTCACATTGATGTCTCCCTCTCCCCCTGCCCTCCCACCTTCCCCCCAAAAGGAAAAGGAAATCAATGAATATGTCCTTGGGTGAGGATTTAAAAAAAAAAAAAATCATATACTAGTTACAGAGATTCAAATATAAACACATAACTTAAGTTTATCCTTTTATATATGATATATGTGAAGCATTTCTAGGAATGAATGTGAAAGCTAGTTACCACAGAAGTACAATCCTAACTAGGCAAGTGCTATTTTAAAGTTTACTAATTTTACTTATTTGTCTATTTGGGATGCCTTTATAAAAGGATGGTTATAAGCAAAACACAGTCCCAATGAGTGGAGATTCTCTATATAAAAATAAAAAACTCAAATGCACATATTTCAAGAGAGGAAAAGGATGAATGGAAAAGTCATAAAGAAATGCATTTAGATATATTCCAAGATTTTGAGGCTAATCAATTTAACTGCTTCAAGTTATTTTGAGGCTAATCAATTTAATAGCTTAATAGCTTATATATATAAAAATACATACACACACACACACACACACACACACACACACACACACACACACACACACATATATATATCAAAGTCCTTCTTTGGCTCTATCACTAGTTGTTACATCTAAAGGGAGAATAAGTTACTGACTGTCTATTAAATGGCTATGATTAATCATTATAATCCTGTGAAAGAATTACTACTGTTTACAATTACAAAACTACAGAGGTTGAGTCTCAGGGGCAAATTAACCTGCTCATGGTCTTTCTACACTATGGCAGAGATGAGATTGGAATAGGTTTATCTGCACCAAATCTAAGTCCAATTTTTCTTCCTAAAACTCCAAATCCTATTTCATCTTCATTCTATGTCTTATTTCTTTGTTTTGGTTATCACAAATATTTTCTGAACAAAATTATGTAAAGATGATTAGGGCATAATTTGTGTATAATATAAGATGCTTAAACAGATTTCACAGTAAAAAGCTAGAAGAATGTACTTAAAAACAACTGACCAACCAAATCAGAAACAAGAGTACTGTGTCAAAATACTGAGAAACATAGTTGCATCAAGTTAAGGGAGGAAATAATGCAATGCACAAAAATGCACTGACTCTTAATAATCAACAAAACTAGCAAGATACTAGAATTTTAAGCCAAACACAAGTCAAATATTTACTACGACCTTCCCATTCCACCAATGAGAAAACAGACCTAAACAGTTTAAGGAATTTACCCAATAGAACACCACTTATTAATGACACACATACGGGGAAAAACCCATATCTCTCTACTTCTAGCACAGTATTCTTCCCACTAAAACCCATTACAAAATTATGATGTGTTTTAGAACAAAAGTATATAAAGCCAAGGCTCTTTATAAGGATATAAATAGAATAAAAGCAAAAGACTCTTAATATGGATATAAATAGAATAAAAAAAGCAATCCTATTCATTAAGCAGATTTTATAATTCTGATATTCAGCAACATCCAAACAGAAATGCTTTTAAAATGGTTTGCTAATCTTAATTTTTCTTAACAAATTCAGGAAAAGAACTCAGATCAGTACTACAAAAGAAAATCAGCACTTATGAATACTCTGATAAAAAATGTGCCATACAAAGGTTTCAGTAATAGTGTGAACAACTTCAACAACAAAATTGGGGGGAGAACCAAAAACATTTTATATTAAAAAAAAAAAAACACGTTTCAAACTTCCCTGTGACAAAACCTGCCATAAAGATCAAGAAAAATAAACTTTATACAACAAACATCTGCCACACATGTGAGAATCATTATTTCAAATATAAAAAATTCTCATAATACAGGTGGACGAAGATTACTACTACAATTACAATAACGACACTTCATTCAATTTAAAAATAATGAGAACAAAAACAAGATGGTTATTTTTTGCACATCAGATTTAAGACTGAGAATATCCAGTATTGATGAAGGTTGAGAAAATAAGCCCTCTCTTCCACTGTACACAGAAATGTAAACTGATCTTTTAAGAAGAAATTTTGGCAAAATCTATTAAAATTGGCAAAGCAATTTCACTTGTAACAATTTAATCCTACAGAGAAAAAAAAACATATGCAAGGATATATGTCCTATAACATTGTTTGTAATTGCAAATAAAAAATTAAAAAGAATGTCCATTTATAGGACATTCACTAAAACTCAGGCTCCAATAACTATGATATGCTATTATTTTATGTCTAAAAAATAACACTGCCCATTAACTTCTGACAGACCACAGATCCCAAGATGCAGCCCCATTTCATAAATGTTAAACTACAAAATTAAGCAAAATCAGTAAAAACAAATGTGTACACTGACAAAGATGCCCAATATATAATACTAAAATGAAGAAAGCAAGCTATAGAATAGTGTATAAACTATAACCCCATGTTTTTATTTATACAATGGACATACAGGTTAACATAAGTTTAGAAATAGTTTTGAAAGGATATATACCCAAGTTACCACAGTCGTGGTAACTTGGGTATATATTTAAAGAGGCTAGCGTATTTGTGTATTTCTAAACATTTTTATTATTTGGATACTACAACTATATATTAATTTTGTAATCAGAAAGTGATAAAACACTGAAAATTTGTTAAAAGTCAGGTGGGCTCAATGAAAAGAAACTAAGTTTTAATACCATTTACTTGAATTTAAAACCAAACAATTTTGAGGTCAAGGAATTAAGAACATAGCATTTAACTGGCAAACCATAAATTTAAAGAAGTATAATAGAAATTTTAAATTGCAAGACTATAGGTTTTAAAAAGTAGAATATAACAATACAATGGATTTTAGTTTAGTCAGAATTGTACAGCCATTGTCATTATCAAATATTACATTTTCATCATTCCAAAAAAAGTAACCCATACCCATTCATAGTCACTCCCCATTCCTTGTCACTGTAACTCATGACCATCAATCTACTTTCTGAAACTACAGATTTGCCTATTCTGGACATTTTACATAAACAGAATTATACAATGTGTGTCTTTTGTGACTGGCTTCTTTCATTTAGCATAATGTTTCGATGTCCATCCAGGTTATAGCATGTATCTGAATTATGAATTTATTTAAAACAATATTTCCCGGAAACTGTTTCTCAACTTTTGGCTCAGTGGATGCAGAATTAGACAAGTAAGAATTTAAGTCTCTAATAAGATAATAGAAAAACAGATCTCATTTTTATTGCCTTAGGAAAAAAATAGATACTATTCAAAAGCTAAATATAGCCGAAACCGGTTTGGCTCAGTGGACTGAAGGGTTCAATTCCTGTCAAGGGCATGTACCTTGTTTGCGGGCACATCCCCAGTAGGGAGTGTGCAAGAGGCAGCTGATCGATGATTCTCTCTCATCAATGTTTCTAAATCTATCCCTATCTCTTCCTCTCTGTAAAAAATCAATAAAATATATATATAAAAAAAGCTAAATATACACAATAAAATCATATTCTCAATAGCATAAGCTTTGTTTATTTCATTTAAAATATTTTTTCTATGAAAATAAAAGCAAACAATGTATTATAAAAAGATTTCAAGTCAACCTAAGGAACTGGTAAGCTGGATTATTTTAAATGAGACCTACATCTATAACAAAAGAACTTTACTTAATCCCATATAAGTAATCCTGAATTAGTCAATTTATAAATGGACATTTCTCAAATCGGAGAGGTGAATTGGGAAAGAAACATTATTCTGAAGTAAATCTAAGGTTTTCAAGCTGTATAAGTACCCTGTGCTCCATGATAACTCTAATACAGTCTATGTTAACTTTTTGTTCTGTAAATATACATACTCTCTACCAGGATTTAATGCTACAACTAAAGAGTGAGAGATCACAGGTACTTGTTTGGTGGTCCCTTTAAGAGAAGACTTTTTCCTCCCATTTTAAAGTAGAAGAATGGTGTGTTGCATGTGTAAATCCCAGAAGATCTCAGTCATAAAAATAAAGAACTTTCCAAATCACAATCACCATAACCACCACTTTACTCACTGTTACAAACTGAGTATCACCGCTGGTTAATTATAGACAAGGCAAAACATAACTGGGGATTTTAAAGTGGGATAAAAATAGTTAGAAGGTAAAAAACATGTCCACAACCAGCTAAGCCTTTCCCAAATAAATGATCACCATCTACCAATGAGAAGAAACAAAAAATCTGCTCACTCTGAGAAGTTGATTTTAGGGCCACAAAAAAGGAGAGAAAAAAATCCATCTATTAATTCCAAATGAAACTTACAAAACCTTTGCAATGGTTCTGAACATCAACCTACCTACCAACATCCACCCTACCCTCGACGACGCCCTCCCTCCTACCCACTTCATCACAGATGCTCTTCTTTTTTAATCCTTGTAGGGAGGACAAGCTTAAAAGAGGGGGAGAGCCGAAACCAGTTTGGCTCAGTGGATTGAGCATTGGTCTGCGGTCTGAAGGGTCCCAAGTTTGATTCCGGTCAAGGGCATGTACCTTGGTTGCCGGCACATCCCCAGTAGGGGGCATGCAAGAGGCAGCTGATCGATGACTCTCTCATCCATGTTTCTAAC